CGTACCACACCAAGTATTCCGCAGTTTCCATGACAGGCTATTAGTATGCGAAAAATGAAAGGAAGCACACCTTATTAATGTCATCTTTAAGAGGTAAAGAGACGTTTGTGATAATGACACTTTGTATAAAAACATAGTGCGTACATTTCTTTTCATCATTAATAAACATGTTTATTAGTGTCAATTATATTGCTACAAATTTTTTGTGTTCTCTGCGCTACCTTGTTGTTAGCACTATGATATCTCTTGCGCCGTGTAATAACGGTGTAGGAACAGTATAGCAAGAGGCGACGCAACGACATTACAACAGGAGATGATTACTGATAACAACTTAAAGTAATAAATATTGCGTTTATCACTCCGCCTGTCCCGAAGAGTGCCGCTCTTGGCATGGCAGGCGGACCGATAGAATGGTCAAATTCCCCCAGTGAGGCTCTTGTGAAAGGTTCATTAATGGACTTTTATAGGCTGTTATAAAAAAAACTTGCGCAATTGATAATTTTCGATTATTTAGAAGTTGTCTTTATGGTCAAAAAGCGAGTAGAACGTCAGTAAGTCACTTTGTATTAGGAAGTTAGCATTGTATATTAAGGCGACACCGTGAAAAAATGCACCTCCTTTCATCGAATAGTATAGGACTATGACACCACTAACGAAATTGGAATTTTGATATAGATAAATTCATGTCTTTATCTTGAATTTAATTGTTTAAAAACATAATTGTATAATTTTGACTCGAATATTATCGAAACTCTGGATGAAATTACTTAATCTATATACTTGGGAATCATAATTAACATAAATATTCATAATTTACTTTGTTCATTATTTTGATTACTTAAAATCAATAATTTTTAAAAAATATTTTAAGATTCTGACAATTTCTAAGCGCTTTTAATCGGGTGAAACTAAGCGTTTTTTTTTTTCAAGTTTTTATAGAAATTATGTATTCACTCGGATCAGTACGGCGATAGCCATTTCGATGTGTCGTCTTAATATAAATTGGCTAATAACTGTTATATTATTTTATATAATAACTTTAATTATTTATTTATTTGAAAATGTAGAAGAGTTTGTTTATTTGTTTAAATTTATTTAAAATATATATAAAGTTATTATTTTAGGCGGATTTAATATCAGTTGGCGTTCTCTTTTAGTAAGCTCATGTTGTGGGGAAATATAGTAATTGTTGTTTCGTTTTTTTTATTTCTCTTTTCCCTCTTTTTTCCCTTACCATGCAAACTCTTTGAAGTCGGTTTGGACTGCCACATCGGAGTTTAATTTTTTCAAAAGAAGTTGTCCAAATTTCGGAAAAAATGGTAATCTGTTGGAGCAAGGTCCGGGAAGTACGGTGGATGTCGCAGACATTCCAATTGTAGCTCATCTAACTTAGTGGTTGTTTATTGTTGATGTGCAGTGTGTGGTCTTGCGTTGTCGTAAAGCAGCAGTGGCCTAGAGCGATTGACCTATCTCGGTTGTTTAGCAGCTAGTTCTTCCTTCATGGTTTGCAGTTGCTGACAATAAATATCTGCCGTAATCGTTTGGCCAGATTTTAGAAAGCTGTAATGAACGACACTGGCGCTAGTCTACCAAACACTCACAAGTAACTTTTTCTGAGTCAATTTTCGTTTAGGGCAGGATTAGACTGGGTCTCCAGGGTTTATCCGTTGCGGCGAGTACTTCGGATTATCATACAGTATCCACTTTTCATCACAAGTAATGATTCGATTTAAAATCCCTTCATTTTTGTGTCGTTTGAGCAAAGTAACATAGCAGTCGACGCGTGTTTGCAAGTTTGATTCACTCAATTCATGAGGTACCCATCGTCCAAGTTTTTTTACTTCCCGATTTGCTTCAAGTGGATTAATACAGTTTTATCACTTACCCTAAGTGCTTTGTGATGGATCCGCTTCCACAATAGCCTTTAATTCTTCATTTTCCACCTTGATCTCCCGCCGTTCACGGGGTTGATTCTGAAGGTCGAAATTTTCTGAACGAAAACGTTGAAACCAAAAACGTACCGTGCTTTCTTTTGCGACACCAGCGCCGTACACATAATTAATCCTTCGAGCTGTTACTGCTGCACTAGCGCCACGGTAGAACTCGTAAATATACTACTACTCGTAAATATACCGATATTTCATGTTTTCCATCGTGCGGTAATAAGCGACGCCAAAGAAAAAAAATAATGAGGAAAAACCAAATGAATGACTGTTTTCAATACTCAAATGTACCATCTGAATGAATTTATAAATTTGAATTTGGAATTCTTAACCAAAGAGGAGATATTTCAGATCAAAGTGGTCAGTACAAAAAAAACGCTAATTTGATATGTAAGGACCCAATATGTTTAGAAGTGGAGCAGGATTATATAGTGTTACTTAGTTATCATGGCATTTTTTTGTTTAAAAGAAAGATAAGTTGGATGTTCTTTTTGTCGTGGCTAGACGCTTGGTCGTGGTGTTGGTTGTGGGTTGTGACGTGTGGTTATGTCGATCGGTGCAGATCCGCGCGGAGGAGAGCCGGTGGCTGGGCGCGGCGCTGCTGATCCCGGGCGACGGGTTCAGCGCGGAGGTGGTGCGCGGCGTGCCGCCCGGCCTGGCCGAGTTCGTGGCGCCACTGCAGCGTGGAGCGCTGTGCCGCCTCGTGCACCAACCGCGCGCGCTCGGCGCCTGGACCGTGTACCTGGCGGGCCACGCGCCGCACGCCGCCGCGCCGCACGCCGCGCACGCGCACCCCGTGCCGCACGCGCGCCCGCTCATCGTGCGCCTCAACAAGAACTCCTCAGGCATGGGCCTCAGCATCGTTGCCGCCAAGGTAATACACACACACGCACGCACGCACGTACTCACGTACGCACAAATACGTATACTCACTACTAGACACGCACTACGGTACTGACATTGCACACTAAGCTACGCTCAAGTCTTCGTAACTCCTTTAGCCGACTGAGAACAGACGAGAAGACTAGTTCTTTGTTTTGTGAACTGCGAACATTGTTTTGTGCAGTCTTACACTGGATTTTGTTTAATGTGATTTTTTAAAGCCCTGAGTGCAATGAAGCTGTAAAAACCAACTGACTAAAAACATTAACATCACAGAAATTAGACTACATGCCGCACTCCCAACCAGAGCTCACTTTTATCAACACTAAGTCATTTTGTAATAGCAAAATGTAAGGGACATTTTCCTAATAGAACGTTTAACGATATGCGATGTGCAGGGCGCGGGGCAGAGCAAGCTGGGCATCTACATCAAGTCGGTGGTGCCGGGCGGCGCGGCGGCGGCAGACGGCCGCCTGGCGGCCGGCGACCAGCTGCTCTCCGTCGACGGACACTCGCTCGTCGGCATCACCCAAGAGAGGGTACGCCATGCTCCCACCTCTCAACAACGAATTGTCTGTTTCTTTAGGACACGGCGAACGGTTACAACCCCCCTACATCAACCAAAATCCGAAATTTTGTATTTTAAAGAACATACTTATGTTAACCTAAAACATACGATGTGAAAAATCGTTATTTCAAAACTATTTTATTGTTCTCCTGTATTTTACTAATTAGAATTTTTCTAAATAAACTAGAAGAGGCATTAATACAGGGTAATATATTTTACATCGTATATTATTTAAAAAATAAATTTAATTAAAAATATAGTTTGTACAATTTTCATAACATTTAACGATTTTAGTCCTTCGAGCTGGATATTTTGTAATTGACATAAACTCTTATGTTTTTGTCAATTAAAAAATTTAAAACTATCTATAAGCTCACTCTGAATACTACAATATTGGAGTCTAGAGCACGAATTAAGTTGGTCTTCACGTCCACACCGGCTGGTATGATTTGCGGGCTTGCATAATTTTTCCACGACTGAAATTACGAAAATTCTATAATTCAAAAAATCTCCGCTTCATACATACAATTCACGCTGTGTTTTGTGAGAGTGTGGTACTTCTCCGGGCAAACCGACCTATTCCTGTTACAATCATAATGAAGATGCAGCGTGGCTTTACCACGAAATATATAAATATAAAATATAATTTAGTAAGTGACAGTAGCCTAATGGGGCAGGGCGCGAACCTCGAACTCATCTTGCTAACTCTTTCTAGGACAGTTTTTTATCTGTTTGTTTTTTACTAGACTAGTTTTTTGTCTGAACCAATAGTCAAATAATATTATTCTAGGTTAAACGGGGTTACTGGTTTAATTCTGGCAAAAAAGTTATTATTGCGGGTGGCTTTCAGTGCACTCAGAGTACAGTATAATAATGTCTTCAGGGTGATGTTGGGTCTGTCGCGGTTTTGCCAGCGCATCGGGCGTGTATAGGCTAGCTTCGAAACGGTGTTGCGCAAACGTGTAGCCTCGCTCATGCGCAGAAAACATGGTAGCTCCAACACCATACTGAGGGCTATTAATGGCAAATCAGATTGTCCTATTATGGGACACTGGGTGAATATATGTGCATAAACCTAGTGCCTCGGGTAGGCTTGGTTTGTACTTAAACTAATTATTCATGTTTGCACTTAATTATTACTAACATAGCTATAACTTCCTTGTACCTACTAACAATTATGGATGTTTGTCCGAAATAAAAAGATTTTAATTATTTGTTTATTATCTTTTTTATGTGACCAGTTACATACAGTTACATGTAACATTTTCGATTAAAATATGTACTTATTTCCGCAAGGAATAAAAAACTACTGAGATGTCGTTAGATTTAAATTCGGTTTAAAATTAATACAGGCGGCGGAATACCTGATCGGAACTGGTCCGACGGTGACATTGGAAGTGGCAAAACAGGGAGCTGTACTTCATGGTTTGGCCACCCTTCTCCATCAACCTGCTTATAACCAACGGCAAGGTAACTAACATTTCTATATGGAATGGAAATAAAACAAAATTTTATGAATTAAAAATTAAACATATTTTTAATTTTTAACATTATTTCGATAAGTGATTAAGCGTATAAAGGTGCTCGGGTTTCATTCACGCCGGCACCAATGACTTTGTTAATTACTATTATAAGTATTGACTTACCACGTGATCGGCGATATTGGAAAACATCGTGAGGAAATCTGCATGTCTAAGGAATTATTCAACATGTTAATAAAAATATTTGCTAACGACATAGGTAATTAGGTTCCTAAACTGGCCCGTACTTAGGCACACACGTAGGGCGATGTTAATGCGATGGTATCAACAATTCACGAAATTTATGGTATTTTTTATCCGAATATTCACTCAAGTTTAATTTTCACAAATTCACTTTCACACGAAAGAATTTCAACCTGACGCTGGAACAAGGATCGTTTTTTACGTATCTTTGGACTGTCCGTATGAAAATCCGTAATTATATAGGAAATACACGTGTGGTATTATATTTATCTCGGAATATTCGTAATGCCAGAACTGCCTTTTGATAGCATTAACTGTAAATCAAAATCATGTGAGCGTAGGTATTCCGATGCCGTGTAATTAATACGTCTCATCTTAAATCTTTAATAAAAGCGTCTAATTTCGTAAGAACTGTCACACCGCTTTATTACAACTAATATTATCGTATTAATGTATCCTATTACAAACAAAACAAGAAACTTATCCAAAAATATTAACGAAATCAAGAATAAAACAATTAAACCCAAGGGACGCGTACGCGAAAATAAGGTCAAGCGACTCGGGAATTATCTTTAAGGACACCGGCGTCAGACTAAAGTGACTCTTACGTACCGTCGCACGTGTCGAAGAAATACGAATTTTCATGTAACGGATAGAGAATTATGCCTTAAGTTGTTTAAGTAAGTAAACAGTTTTTACACCTTCGTCGCGCGCTCTTCCCTTGCTTTTAATTTCGCGCATAAGAATTTTGCCCTAAATTGTTTGTCTTAAGTACATTTATTATTGACCTATCAGTATTCTTCACGTGATATATGTATGCATTTACATGATGTTGTTAAATATTGAATCGAAAAAAAGGTTAGCGCGACTAGATTATTAATTGTTATTTTTTATAGTTGTGTATTTTCAAAGAACGCTATGTAGTATTTCTTTTTGTTTAATGACTTATCGTCACTTCGTGTAAGCTATAACTTTACTTTAAACTTTTGCTTAAAGTAAATTTAAAGTAAATTAAGTGCTCGGTGCGAAAATCGGATAGTTATCTTCTGAGCTATCACAGCTTTTATATAGTACTTATGGTGTGGGCAATTTTTCATAAAATTTAATTTAATATTTTTGCCAACATGAAATGAAGATGATTGAAATAACATTTTGACTATATACCTACTTAAATATTTTCCTCCGTCATAATGAAGATGTAATTGGTATCTAAGACAGGTTATTTTTTTGGATCTCTTACGGCTTCAGAGCATGTTGTGATAATTTTGAATCGATTTATGTTAGAATTGACAATAGTTGCAACGATAGGAGGTAAGTAAATGTGTGTGCGATGTAATTGTTGACACTGGAGTGTGGCGGTGCAGAGTCCGCGGTGGCGGGGGAGGCGGCGGGGGAGGTGCAGTACGAGGATCGCGCGCGGCGCAACTCGGGAACGTTCACCAACACGCACCCCGCGCTGCTCAGCCCCGCCGCGCCGCTCTCCGAGCTCGCCACCGCAGGCACGCCACGCACACACACACCACGACACGCCCACCGACACTCGTTGTGATCGACCGACCCGATACGCCACCGTTCATTAATATTTACGCTATATCGTTTCTTTTTGCTACTTTTAAAAGTGTCTTCAAACTTGATCGATTTTTCATTTTAGTGATTTTAGGTCTTCAGTGTTTATTAAGAGGGAGTATTACAAAAAAAAAACAAAAAAAAAACGCGAAATTACAAGGTTTCCTCGGTTTCCGTACGTTGCCTTCGTTGTTTTCTCTACTACAATAAGCTCAGAACAAATTTTAAATATCTTATTTATTTATTTAGTAGTAATCATTCTCCCGATGCATGTTTAGGCCAAAACTCTAAGAGACATGATATGGGAGCTCTAATTTGTAGATTCTATTGAATATCAACCGTCAAAAAATATTAAATAATATTATTAATAATATATTATAGTATATTATATTTTTATCTCCCTAGTATCCTTTATTTTAATAATGATAGAATACATTTTCGTTATAGTCCTTTCACGTAAGGACGGCAAGGAAAAACGGCATAATTCAATGAACGACCGTAAAAGCTTCGATTTAAACCCCAATATCTTCGAAGTTCTACATCATTTTCACGTAAAATTATCAAAATCTATATTAAAATAATCATCAACATTGATTTAACTATACAATTATTTTTATTTTTTAAATCGTTACTGTTACTTTTTAATTAATTAAATAATAAAACCATATATTTCCTTGCGTCGGCCATCTGAAATCATTACCTCGCGAGCGGTTATCGAGCTTGGATCGGTGTCACTTGATTTCGCGCGCTTCATCTCGCGTACGTTACGTGCGTAGATAGCCGATGTTTTGTGCTAGAGCATCATCAACTTCGACCGCAGTTTTTGATCGTTGGAAGTATTTTCTTTAGTACAGTATATTTCAATTAGCATAAAGTTCGCACATTACTATTATACGAGATAGTTAAATCATTATAGTTATTTCGATTGTAGCCGAGCTTTCTTACCGGTCGGAATTGGGAAAATAAATGCAAGTATCAATGTGTCACTAAACGTAAAAAAAACAAATATGCTATCTCTGGAGAAATAATAATGGAGAATAAAAAATGTCTGCATGCTTGCCATATGGACTGGCCCAGTAAAAGTACTAAAAATCTACAAAGACTACAAATTTTGGATTTTGAATATGTTACCCAAATTACAAGCGTTTTATAAAATCTGCGACTGCCTGAAATTATTGACTCGAGATAAGCTCGGTCAATCCTGTTGCGGCAAATACTTTTATAAAAAAAATATGGTAATTTATTGTAAGTACCTATTAAAAATATTAGTTACAGTTGGTTATTTTATATATTGAAACAAGTTGGAACCGTACTATTTATTAAAACCGATTTACACTTCGACAAGTACAGTAGCGAGTTTAGTTACAGGGCAGTTGACAGTAAACGGTTAAGTGGGCAGTAGCGTTCAAACAATGTCTTCGTGACGAGTTTAGTTAAGGACATTAGTTCATAGAGTTCGTTGGAATATGACGTTTCAAGATTACAGAATTTTTCTTGTTTTCGTTTAAGATGGTTCTAGGATTACGTCAAAAATTAAATGATATAGTCAGAGAAATATTAATAGTTGTTGTTAAAGAAGTTTTTAAGAATTTTCATGACCGCAGCATTTCGCGGAGGTTTAATTTTATAATTTGAACTTCTACTATTATATAAACATTCGTTTTCTAAATACTCCTGTACAAATTTATACGTGATATCTTCCGTCGATTTTATTATTAAAACTCAATATAAAACGTATAATTATTTAATAAACAGTATCGTACAAACTTTGTGGCGAGTTTAATTATAAAAGTACAATTGTACGTTTTGGTGCGCAAACGTTGCGTCCTGTCAACTTATGCACTGAACTAAACGCGTTCGTTTACGCAAACTAAACTCACTCGTTTACACAAACGGCGAGTTTAGTTGCGGGTGGCGGGAGACGCGCGGGAGGGCAGCACTTCGCACTTAACTCGCGAAGTTTAGTCGTTTAATCAATATTTAAATTTAGAAGTTTAATTTAGATTAGAAGTTTAATCGTTAACTTGCTACTTAACTTGCTTATTGCTGTTCAAACGAGGTTCAGGTTCAAACTCGCCAGGTTTGCAAGTTAACTCGCTACCGTACTTCTCGAAGTGTAAATCGGTCTTTAGACATGGGCCGAATGCACACTCGTCGATCGGAGTGTATTTTTGTCATAATATTGTTTCCGGTAACCGTTTAAACATTTTGTTTTGTATATTTATAAAAACTATAAAAATCACACTAAAAAGTAGCAAATTGATATTAGTGTTAGTAGTAGAAAGTGAAAATGTTCGGCTTATTTAATAAATGGTGCCCGATTGACGGTGGTCTAAATTGGCTTGGTCGACTCACGTTTTCGTTTTCAATTTCAATTTTCTTTTTCAGTTGGTTTCAAATTTGGACATTCTTTTTTCGATTTGGTTTACATTTTATAAGTCGTTGATTGGTTTGAATTTGGTTATTTTAAATCGTGCATTTTTCGTGATGGTGTTTTATTATGTCTCTTTCCTTTTTGCTTTTACAGATTTGTTTTAGATCTTTTATAGTTTTTTTTTTAAATTGAATTTGGACGTGTTATTTGACTTGACTTGAAATTTAGAATAATTTTTTTTGTTTTTTAAAAACGTTACCTCCTACCCACTAGGAATTTCTCCTGTATCGTTTAACATTAACACTAACAGGTTTAAGTTTGGTTTATTTCATTTATTTTTGAGATATTTGTGGTCCGTGTAAATTTGGCAAACAGAACACGGTAATACTTTTGTCCGTGTCAATTTACTACAAAATATTGAATAATTAAAAATTTACTACAGTGATATATGACAATTTTTTATTTTTGATTATTTTACAGCATCAAAATTTAATTTTTATGCTGGAATTTAATTAAATTCATCGAGTAAATTGGAATAGAAACTTAAAAGTTTTTCATAATAAATATTGTTCAACATAAAATAGATTCACATATGGAACATCAAAATTGAACAGAGATTAAATGGCACGGACCACTTAATTGTGCAAGTAATAGATTGTTTATTGCTATAGGTGTTTGCTACTATCGATTTATTTTCCCATTGTGTGAGAAGCTTTCATTTGTATTTCGAATTACAGGATACGGTCGTCGCTCTTTCTATAACCGATTTGGTCTCCGACACGAGTCCATCGAATCTAGTACAGATGAAAGTGAGGAATGGCATCCACACTACCATGGCTCCATACCCAGACTAATTATAACACTAGATAGAGAGAATAGTCAGTTGCAAGATGACTTATCTCCCGAAACTCCCGGATGTCCGATAGAACTTAGCATCGGTCCCACGCCACCACGGCCTATCCCAGTGTTTACATTCACATGTGAAGATTTCGATGAACAACGCAAATGTGAAACGGAGAATCATAATCCGTACACTCTAAAAGAGGATCCACCGCCCGTTCTTGGACCTCCTGTAACTTACGATCTGTCAAATGAAAATGGCGAAGCTGTTTGTTTACCTCCACAAATGAGGCCGATAGACACAAAACTCACGCTAGATTTATTCAATACACGAGCAAAAGAAGCAGAAAGTTACAGACGTAGATGCACCGGAGTGGACGAATGCGTTAGTGCTTGCGAGTGTTGTCGTACACCCCAACCAGAAGGGCAGCAAATCCCATACATAGACGAGCCAAACTCTGAACCTGTTATATTTGAAAACGATTGTGCCGACGAAAAGATCGCTACACCCAAAATACGAAGGATACTCCCCTCTGTATCGCTGGATAAATCAGAAGAAATGAAACCCGTGACAGCAGATGCCGAATGTCAAACTTCTTCCTCTCCTGAGCATGATGAAGCTGAAACATTCTCAGTACCATTATCTGATAGAAAATTTGACCTTAACTTGAAACTAGAAAAAGAGTCTAAAAATATAGAAAATATTCATAGTCGCCTCAATAGAACATTATTTAGTATGTCCAAATCATTTTCCAGTAAATCAGAAGATACCGATGGACCGTCCACTTATTCTACTTCGGATTCTTTTGATGAAACTTTAAACCAAAAAATTAAACGTATTGATAAAGTTTCACCAAATATCATACGAAGTGACACAAAACAAATTTTAGACAGTATTGATAGGAAGTCCTGGAAATCTCCGGACGAATACAGACCCGCATTTGGACGAGTCAAAGCTTTGACAAGACGCTTTAATGAAATCAATTTGAAATATTCCGTCAAAAACTATAAACTCAACTGTCAATCTAGCCCCAACCTTTGTACTCGTGATGATACGAATTCAAAGCTAAGAGACTGTTTACCAGTTAGTACAAGTTTAGCGAACATACAGTACGATTACAATAAAACCGATACAAGCGACACAAAAGGAACAAAAATGTCAGATGAAGAGGTTAAAAGTATCTTGATACAGTTAGAAGACTGGTCAAGATACGGTTCACGAGGTAGTGAAGATACCCTTGCACAAGGTAATGAATTCGAATTGCCAAATCTGCCTTCCGAAGATCATACAGATAATGTGTCTCATAGTGGTAGCTTTATCTTTACCGAAATTGTTGATAAGAAACCTAGAAAAATAACCCTCGATAATATTAAATTAAAATCGAACCAATCAAGTGTTAGCTCAGACCAACTCAGATCAGACAAACTTAGTAAAGAGTCCCTGGTTAAGAGCGGTAGCTCAAAGAAAGTTAGCGCTAAAATTACTCCACAAGTGGTAAATATGCCACCTCACAAGCTTACATCATCGTTTTTCGATGTGTCAACGGATATGTTTTTAGATTCGAGCCGAATTTCAAATGAAACAGTAATCCAAAGCTGTCCTAATATCAGCAGTAGCAGTGCAGCATGTCGTGCAGCTGGGGCTGTTGGTGACTTGAACACCAGCTATCCAGCCCTCCAGACCAAGAACTACACTCAACTCGAAACCCCGTGTAAGACACACACACGCATGAAATAGGTGTGTTATAGGCCAACGCACACTTTTAATTTGTGGTATACTGTTGTCTGTCGTTGCATGAGTGATTCGTTGTACGGTATTTCGTTTTATTTTTCAGGTTTTATGCACCTTTACTGCTGGTACTCGACAATTTTGTAATATTAGATTTTATTTTGCTTATGTCTTTGATCCTGATAAAGTCTGCTTCATAAATATTTTGTTATAACTAATTAAATAGGGAATTTATTTCGCATTTTTTTCATTTAATTTTACTTTTTATCGCCTTGCGTATATTGCAATCACACGTACAAAAAATATTTCATCACCTAGGAATAGATAGTAGCATGAACAAATTAAAATAAAAAAAACACTATTTTTTTATTTTCTGCAACTTTGTCATAGTTACTTGTTAAACAGACTTTATTTTCACTCAAATATTGTCCACTGTATGTTTTGAACATTTACTTTATAAATATTTGATACGATTAAAAGTATTTTGATTACAATTTTATTCATAAATATGTCGAAGTAACGTAATTTTTTTAAGTTCTAGCACATTTCCGCATTTATTTTAAGTAAATATATAAAGTTTTAAGTTTATAAAATATGTATGTATATGACACAATATGAATATTGGAATTATGGATATTTAATTATAACATTTAATTTACGTAGTTTTCATTCTTCGTTGTTTCATTTCTTTTAGATTTAAACGTCATATAATAATAATAAGGTATTAGTTACTTTTGTTATTATTATACATACTTATATCAACTACTTGTATTTATTGTTTATGTAACTGTTTTTCCTATATATATATATATATATATATATATATATATATATATATATATAATGCCTAATGACTATTTTATTTCTTTGAAAAAAGTTTTGTCTGTTTAATGAGATGGCTGATGATGCTAAGACATCTAATTTAATTGAAATAATAACGGTTTACAGTGATTGTTATGATTTTTTGTAAAAATTCTAGTTTTAAGTTTTGCTCTTAATTTAGTTTTACGAGACAATTTTCAGGCAAATCTGCCCAATTCCTGAAATTTTGACAATACAACATTTATTCGGTCAAATTTATCTAAACTGTTAACATCATGTTTGTTATTACTGATAGCGGTATGGGACGGAAAAGGCTTTTCCGTCAGCGTTCAGCCACATACTATAATATTAATTTTCGGTCGGGTCAAACGTTCAGCCTTCTTTATGCACCATGTATAAAATGTGTACGTTGTGAGTGCATGTCGTAAGGTGCGTGCGTGTTGCAGACGGCGGGGGCAGCGGGGCGCTGCGGCGCGCGTCGGAGCGCGACCTGCCGGCGCGGCTGGCGGCCGAGCCCGTCAAGCCGAGCAAGAGCACGCCCGCGCTGCACCACGCGCCCGCCGCGCAGCCCGCAGCACAGCCCGTAACACAGCCCGCACACAGGTACGCTTGCTTAGAGACTCGCCGGAAACTTGACTTGAGAGACTTGACTTGTATTAAAAGGTATTCGCTGATGATTGACCGTAATCTGAGCTAGACAAGAAGATTGACGATCGCAATACCAGATACATCGCACCGTTGACGCTGCTTCCCATCGATATAAAATATTCAGGTTATTTCCTATAGTCGACTGTGAATTATTTTGCCCCCCCCCCCCCCCCCTTTGTCTCCGCACGAAACTACTTGACGTTGTTCGACAGTAATGAAGTGTTTGCAGTGTGAGCAGCGGCACGCTAAGCGCGGCGGGCGCGGGCGCGGGCGCGGGCCGCTCGCGCAGCAGCCACAACCTGAGCGCGGCGCACGCCGACGCCTTCTACCAGAACCTCGCCGCCGTCGCCGCGCCCTCGCACCACGCGCCGCAGGACAGGTACCACTATAATAATAATAATAATATCACACAAGAAATAAGATCGTAAGTGTACCGTGAACGCACGACGTATTGCTCCGGTTGTTGTTTTATCATTGGGAATGGTAACGCCCTATTACCCTTATTTTACGCCAAGCAGCAGTGCATCCACTGTTGTATTTTGGTTTGAAGGATATTATAGCAAGTATTAATAGTATATTAGTGGCTGACAGACATGTCAACAAAGACTAATTATGGCAACATTCCTGTGAAATTTTGCCATTAGGTTGACTATTAGATTGTTTGTTGCTCTAATGTTCTAAAAACTGACACTCATTTAGGGATACTTCGGACAAGTAAATTTCGAATCAGTATGAAAATTAAATTATAAAACACGAGCCTGTAGATACCAAAAAATAATCAGGTATTCGAAAATGTCTAAAATATGAAATCCCACCGGCAGCAGATGATTAGTAGCTACAGCAAGCAGGTGCAGCATTTTCACGCTGCATTTTCCGCAAAAATATACAACGTTCAAACGACCGTGTACACTTGTTTTTTATTATCATTTGCGGGAGCTATGAGCTAAAAATAAGTTTATTAAAATTGACACTTTCGTAGTTATTTTGCACAGGACATATTACAAATTAAAATGAGAGTATATGATTTAAACAGGCACATCATTATGGTGAACACTAAAGACAGTATCACTAATAACTTCAATACCCAGTAAAACTACGTATATGAATAAAGTCTATGAATTTATGTTTTATTGGCCGCACCAATACGTCATCCCCTGCCCGTCTTGTTTTATTGTTTTTCCCGGTTTTGGCAGACTTTAGACGGATAGCGCCAGCGTGGCATCCGAATAAAAAAGTGAGTTGCAGTGTATTTGAAACGCTCTTAAGGATTGCGAAGGTACAAAATGATAGCTTTCAACAATTTCATATTAAAAGTTTGGACAACAAATGCATATAAAATACACTTGATACAATTCAAGAAACCCCCAGTTAAACTTTCAGCATAACAATACAATAAATAAGTAGTACTCTGTTTAAAACTTCCCAATTACAGTAATTTGAACACATTCTTTGCATCGTCAATAATGTTAAATAATCGACTGTAGTTTATAAATATAATTTATTTCATTTTTTATTATATTTTGTCTATTAAGTTGTTATTATTTCAAGTTTTTATTTTTATTATTTTTAAGTAAAGATAGTCTATAAATTATCATAACTTACCTAGATGGTGGAACTATCGCAGCAGTGGCAGTCGTCCTCAGTCCGCTCATTTTGCAGCAGGTGGTACAGAAACACAGCCTGAAGTTTCTTTGCATCAACAGGTAAGAATTAAGTTTTCATAGACATTTTATCGAAGACCGTCATTATTTCATAATAAATATAATTTAAAAATACTGCACTGAATTTAAACTATTTTATTTGTAAACTAGTGGACACTCTGTCATTGTGTAATTTTTTTAGGCCAGCACATCTAGCACTGCGAGTATCAGGGCGGCTAAGTTAGCGGAAATGTCAGAAGAAGTGACAAGACGACAGCAGCAGCAGCAACAACAACAACAACAACAACTAATGTCCCAGCAGAAACAACTTACTCTGCCGCATCAACACACCCAGTTTAACCAGCACCCAGGCCAACTTGGGCATCAATTGGGACATCAGATGGGGCACGTTCAACATCCAAGTCAAATGAGCCACCAAAATAACCAGCTCGGGCACCAGCCAGGCCAAATTCCGAACCAAATGGGTCAACCCAGCTACCAATCAAGCCAACTCGACCTACAATTAAATCAACTCCACCAAACAAATCAGCCTGGTCACCATCTGAGTCCACTTGGGCAACATTCGACTCAATTAAATCAAGGAGCTCAACACACTGGACAACTGGGTCAACAAGCAGGTCAACTTGGCCACCATCCCGGCCAACTGGCTCATCACTTGGGTCAGTTGAGTCAGAGTCAGATGCACATCCACCAGAGTTCGATACATTACCCTCAACAGTCTTCGCCGCAACTGTCCGCTGGTCATCAGGGCCAGAACATGCAGCAGTATATGCATGTGCAAACTGTGCAGAGTCCTCCTTCCTCGTATCACAACCAACATAATCAGCCGCATAGGTTAGTGGGTGTATTAACATTAAAATTGTTATAATTAATTTATAATGAATGTAGCAAAAGTAAAGTAAAAGTTACAGCCTATATACCTCCCACTGCTGGACACAGGCCTCCTCTCATTTCTGAGAGGGTTTAGGGCAAGGAAGTGTCCGCCGCGCTGCCCCAATGCGTGTTGGCGAACTTCACATGTCTTCGAAATTTTTTTTGTTATTCCTCAGACATGCAGGTTTCCTCACGATGTTTTCCTTCGCCGCCGAGCACGTGGTAAATCAGCACTTAAAATTGCAATTAACAATTTCATTGGTGCCGGCGGAGATCGAACCCGGGTTACTCGCGTTCTGTTATATTTATAGCGAGCGTTAACCATCTGAGCTACCACGGCTCTTAAAACATACAAAAATAGCAAACCTGTTTCCTATTTTTGTATGTTTTGTCTTTTTTCTTTTGTGCGTTTGTGTTATTTTTATTGAAAAACAAATTTATTTATTTTTCATAACAGATACGACTGGCATCCACCGGGTCCGCCTTCACCACAACGATCCCAACCGCCAGTTGCTCCGAAGCCACAGGTAAATTAACTTTCATATACTTTATTTCTATATACAGGAAAAGTTACATGAAAGTTATGTGTATCTATTGTTTTTTTGGAATGTTGTGTAGGTAGCTAGTGCGGGCGGTAATCTTTACAGTGATTACGTCACTCGGGCGCATAGGATATCAATGAATTTACGGACGGTGTCGGACAGAAACTTTTAAAATTTTATGAAAGAAAATAGCGTTTTTTTTTAAATTTGGATTAATATTTTTATATTAAAGCCAACTAACTACCTATGGTTTTAGTGACAACGGTGTTTACACTTACACCTTGTACAAAAATCAATTGCTCTCTGTTAAAGCGTTTGTCCACCGTCGCCGTCTCCAGGACGTGAACGAGAACGATATGACGACGCCTAAGTAGCGACACATACATTTACCTATGGCCGCCTGTCCACAGCAAGCCCGTCGCCCGAGCGCCGTCATCCTGGTAGCTAAAGTTTAGAGTACGTCGGCGCGACCGCTAGAACTCAGATCGAGATTATGACGGGCCGATGTACTGGCAATACAAAACACGTTTAAACTTGTCAATTCACACCGGCGCTGTGAAGTCGCACCGCGCCGACTCCTGACAGCTAGAACAAACTGACTGAACCACAGAGATCGTAGCGGTGGATATACGATCGCCGTCATATAAAAATAATAAATAAAGTAGGTAACAATCTCATTCTCGTTGACATCCCGGTGACAGTGAATAATCGCCCTTAGTGTCGCTAAAATGCAAAAACGGCTCAAACGATTCTGGTGAAATGTTTCGTGTGTGTTTGAATGGGTTCAATCATAGAATACTATAATACATACATAATAGAATGGGGGCGTGGGCGGAGCCCGTGAAGCCACTAAAATGTCACGAACATGTCAATTCACACGTATAAATATCAACACGAGATGTGTTTTGACGTTACAATCGTTTCCGAATTTCGCATGCAAATTATTTAGAAAATGCCAAATTGCACACTATTTACAAATAAATATGTATTAAAATTTAAACGATTTTTTAATGATGATCTTGAACATTAATCAAAAGTCTAAAATGTGTGAATTTACTCAGTCTGTCAACACAGCGAATCGAGTTTGTAGTAGTGATAATACGTAATTGCTTGTATATGTGTTACCGACGACGCAGATCCTCGTACAAAATAAGGTTGACAGCCATTCTATAGTATATGATGGTATTCTATGGGTTTAACCGCCTATTACTTATTTTACATTTGGACGCAAAAAATGATCAGAAATCAGCCGGGCGGTTCTATAGATAGTATTTAATAAACTTTTTGAAGGCATAAAGTACAAAAATGGGTAATTCAACATTTTTTTTAACTCAACAACAAGCCATATGTGCGTTTTATCTCCTACTTTTATCATTTTGCTTTTTTTAATTGAATGAAATAGTAAAGTTTCTTTATATTTTTCTTTTGGAAGTAAAAATATAGTGAAAATTAAAATGATAAGCCCTCACACGCATTTTATTTAGTGACAAATATTTCAATGGTAGCCTTTCCTATGAGAATAAATCTAAATAACCGACTTTTAATGATCTTAAAAGGCTACAAGGCGTTCGGAGAGTGAAGATGATCAGCACCAACAGCAACTACAACAATCACAAATCACAAGCACAGTGCAGCCAGAAGACGGTAAAGATATTTATTGTTATTATTAATTTATGATGCGAGCCGTGGTAGCTCAGATGGTTAACGCTCGCTGTAAATATAACAGAACGCGTGTAACCCGGGTTTGATCCCCGCCGGCACCAATAAAATTGTTAGTTGCAATTTTAAGTGCTGATTTACCACGTGCTCGGCGGTGAAGCAACACATCGTGAGGAAACCTGCATGTCTGAGGAATAAGGAAAAAATATTTCGAAGACATGTGAAGTTCGCTAACACACATTGGTGCAGCGCGGCGGACACTTCCTTGCCCTAAAACCCTCTCAGAAATGAGGGGAGACCTGTGCCCAGCAGTGTGACATATATAGATAACTTTACTTACTTTTTATGATGAAAGGAAATTTGAAAGCATTTAACGATTTGCGTTACTACTATTGGGTATAGCTATAGTTGCCACGTATGCTACTACCCGAATTTCACTACGTTTTTTCATAATTTGCTCTTTTGTAATTTTGTTGTATACTTCCATGTGGTTTTTATTTTATTTTAAATATTAATTGCTTTTTGGCACTACATATTCCATGTACAGTGTAAACTATATATAACGACACTCAAGGGAGTGTGCATATTTTGTCGTTATAGAGTTTAGTCGTTAAATGGAACGAAGAAAAATCTGTATGAGAAAAAGAAAAAGTTTATTTCAGACAAGTGTTAGTAAATACATAAAAACAATTGTTATTTGAACGCTATTGCGTATAATTTGTTATTTTCGTCTGAGGTCTTCTGCTGTACCAGTAATTGTGTTGTACTTTTATTACTTATTTTATTCATATCTTGCGATATTGAGTCATATTGGTGATAAAGAAAGTACTTTTCCAATATTGAAATAATACTAGTTTTTACGGAATTTATCGCGTATATTTAACTTAACTTTTTAATTACCCGACGTTTCGAACGCTTTACGGCACTCATGGTCACGGGCAGGACTGAGATGTTCAACGTCCATATGTCATAATTAACCGCGGTTACCATAGATTAAAAGTTTAACTTTTGTTCCGATCTATGCAGTATGAACTTATGGTATCTTGAAGTCTTGCAGTTGTATGCTTGGGTTGGGATTTAATTTTATTTATTATAGGATCCCAAGCAGATGGTAGCACCCAGCCATCTTCTCTATTGAAATTAGGATGTTTTTTGATTTCAATAGCCTCGCGAATCATCCTTGGAAGGAATCGGTGTTCTTTAGCGAGGATCTGCGGTCTATCAAATCTGATGTAGTGACGGGGGCGATCCTGTACGTGTTCACAGACTGCAGACTTCCCGGAGCGTCGATTCTTCACGTCAGCTATATGTTCTTTAACGCGGGTTTTTATTGATCTTTTAGTTTGTCCTATGTAGGAGAGACCACATTCACAATCAAGCTTGTACACTCCTGCATCTTGCAGAGGAACATTACACTTGACCGATGGTAAAAACTGACCAATCTTCTTCAGCGGCTTGAAGTATGTTTTGATGGAAGCGCGCTTCAAGATGTAGCCAATCTTGTCAGTGACTCCTCTAACATATGGCAGTACAGCAGGTACACGCTCGACTGTGGCCGGCTTCACTCGTTCACTGTGACGTAGGCGCGGGACTCGAAGCTTGTTGTCATGCAAAACTTACTTGACATGGTAGAGCTCTGCAGCCAGGTGTTTACTGTCACAGATCCCTCGTGCTCTCTGAAACAAAGATTTACCCACGGTAGCTAACTGTGAAGGATGGTGGTGAGAATCACGTATTATATATCGTATATATCGTAATCGTTTAAATATCTATCTGTATGGGTCTTTTTTCTATACACAGTATGGCTCAAGGTGTTATCAGGATTCCGAATTACTAACACATCTAGAAAAGCTAAGGAATTGTTTGCCTCTAAGTCCATTGTGAACTGAATTTTAGAATTTATAGAGTTAAGATGGTCTAAAAATGCAGTTACCTTATCTAAAGGTAGAATTGTAAAAGTGTCGTCTACGTACCGCTTGTAGAACCTTGGATTTATGGGAGAACTAAGCAGGGCTTTCTCCTCAAAGTCTTCCATGAATATGTCGGCGACAATGGGAGATACAGGTGAGCCCATCGCCACACCATCTACTTGCTTGTAGAACTCCTCCTTCCACAATAGGTAGCCAGATGTAAGGCAGTGTCTGAGTAATACTGCATATTCTACGGGCATGTTGTTTTCTTCCAGCCTTCTAGTTACAATTGAGATGCAGTCTTCAACAGGTAAGCATGTAAAAAATGACTGCACATCAAAACTGACCATAGTTTCATTGTCTGCCAGATGTAGGTCTTTAATCTCGCTGACAAAATGGTAGGAATCCTTTATGTGTGTCCCCTGAGTGGTGAGAGTATTTTCGCTAAGTGTTGAGCCAATCTGTAAGTTGGTGAATCGATTTGGCTCACTATGGGACGTAATGGAGCATTGGGCTTGTGTATTTTTGGTAACCCATACAATTTTGGTGATTTGGCGCACGTAGGTATTATCCATTTTACGTCCAGATTTAATTTTTCGGAGTGTTTCTTTATGAGGTCACTAGTTGTTTTTAGTGTGCTATTTGTTGGGTCGTTTTTAACCTTTTTATAAGTACTTACATCCGTTCACATACATCATTATACTTTTCCAATAATTATGCTGCTTTCAGAGCTTCTTTAATGCCCGGCGGTGGCTCAGTCTCATCTTCTTCATCTGCTTGTTCTTGGTCCTCAGTTTTTCTAACGAACCCAAAACTTCTTTGTCTGTGAGTAAAACCGTTGTAAGCAGACAGTGGGTGCGTTTGGCAGAAAAAAGCGCTAGCAAGCGCTTGTAAGCAAAATGGCGAAATTAAATAGTTTTCGGCCAGGACACGTTTGCTAACTTCAGTAGCGCTGACACAATCCGCCATTTTGCTTATTTAACTTGTTTGTTTTGAAGTAGAGTTTATAAGTTGTTTTGTGCAATATTAGTTTTAAGTAATATAATGACATGAATAGACATATAAATGTTATTAAAAATTCATGATTGGTAAGTTTTTAATATGAATACTTTACAAACATATATTTAAATTCGGTTAGGTTCCCCGGTTAAAACTAACTTCGTGTCCTAGAGGAAAATAGCTACTTACCATTTGACAGCGCTTATCGCTTACGATCGCCATTTTGCTTACAAGCGTGTAGCGGCGCTGTCGTCGCGCCACTAGCACACCGAAACACACCGAAGCCTAAATCGCGCTATTAACATTCCGAATCATAGACAGTATATATAGAACTTCTCCGAACTATCACACGGAGCGTTGGCCGCTCCCCGGGCATAACACCTTGCCCGACGGGAGATCTCCCCTTTTCCTTCCACGGCCACAGTAATGACCACCCGGCTAGGGATGCTCGATGTTGCAGAAACATCGATGTTGACATCGATGTTAACATCGATAGCTCAACATCGATGTTCGATATTTTTCCTACTCAAAACATCGATGTTGGCCATCATCGATGTTTTTTGCACAAGTATTTAATAGGTTCGAATTAGATGAATCAAATAAAGTCATGTTGTTTATGATTTATTATTGAATAAAAAAGAAATTAATAAAGAATTTAGTTAAAAACAGTAATTTAAAAAATAGGAAGAAGTTAACAAATGTCTACTTCATTTGTTATATATGCCAATATTTTTTGCCGATTGATTGAAGAAATAATAATTTTGATAAAGAATTACCTTTCAACCTATTTCTCTGCTGATAAAGCGTTGAGCCAGCTTTTGAAATTAACCGCTCGGAAGGCGTTGATGTAGCGATAGTGGTCAAATATCTCACTGCAAGTTTTTTTAATTTTGGATAGGTAGAACCAATAATATTGTTCCATACGTGCATTGGATCTTGTTTTAGATCAACAACCGGATTCTTTAAAAAATAACTTAATTCTGAGGGCATGTCCAACTCACTCTGCGATGGTATGCTATTTTTTTCTTGTACGAGTTTATAGTGGTCGCTCCACAGATTAAACTCTTCTGGTTCATTGTCTTGCAATTCAACTTCGTCACGATTGTCTTCCTCTTCTGTAACCTTTAGCTCTGCAGTGGTTATTAATTCCTTTACATTTCTTATTGTTTTCGAACATGCCACCGGATCTTGGAAATGTATATTTTTAAAACGGGGATCCAACAGAGTTGAAATGGCAAGTATTGTCACATGTTCAGAAGGCAACAAACGTCGTTTTATTTCAACTAATATGTTATTTTTGAGATTTTCTCCGGTGGCACTTTTAGGCTGTAAACTGTTGATTTTTAAATTTAACATTCGCGTTAAGGGAATTACTTTACTACTTGTCACAAAACTTTCTCCACATACTTCCCGAGTCGCGACTTCTATAGGTCGCAGAATTTCACAGACCTCTGTCAATTCTTCTATTTCTTTTGCAGTTATCATTGGAGGAGCACTGGTATGGATGTTCACAATTTGGTTTATAGTTGGACGCAGCTTTAAAAATCTCTCGATCATATAAAATGTCGAATTCCACCGAGTCGCGACGTCTTGTATAAGTTTTAAATCAGATTGTTTCCGTAATTCATCACTGGCTGCCACACAGTGTTTGAACCAGGTAACAATTCTTCTACAGGATGCGATTAAATGTGGTAACTTGTCGGTTTTCTCCGATTTCTTTCAGATTCTTTCAGATTACGTCGGGTGACCCGACGTAATCTGAACACGCAACCAATAACCTTCGGAAACTTCAAGCTTCATCATCGTCGTAGAATAACCCCACCCATTCGCTCCCGAACAGATATCGTCTGCAGTCTTCATATCCTGCAAGCCATCTAGCTTCACAAGGTTCATCGCAGCACTGGAATAATAATGCTTCCTGTTCCTTCAAGCTACTCTCTGCGCTATACAGTGTTCGGCACGGCTCTGAGCCTTACTGCTCGCCTCTGCCTCACGGCACTCTCGCAGATTTACTTGCCTTCTTCTCGACTCACTGCAGACTACAAGGCAATATCCTGGCACTTGCGCATTCGTCAGCAACGAGGCTGCACTATCTACCTCCGGTCTGAGCAGGGGGGTGATATAGCGGCGCTGTCGTCGCGCCACTAGCACACCGAAACACACCGAAGCCTAAATCGCGCTATTAACATTCCAAATCATAGACAGTATATATAGAACTTCTCCGAACTATCAATCGGAGTGCCGGCCGCTCCCCGGGCAGAACACCTTGCCCGGCGGGAGATCTCCCCTTTTTCTACCACGGCCACAAGCGCTTGCTAGCGCATGTGGCCGTGGTAGGCGCACCCAGTCTACTTCAATGTAGGTTTGAAGATTTTCTGTAAAATTTTCTACCATGTTAAATTGTTGAATCTACTCGGTTAATGGAAGGTTGTCGTCGCTATCGAACTCCGGTTTCGTGTCCACCTCATCACTCATAGAATTTGTACAGAGTTTAGCATATCGAAAAGCGCTGTGTAGTTATGGGTGTCACTTCTTCCCAGGCTTTAGATAAAAAATTTACTACATGTAGCATATTAATAGAAGCTTTACCATCGGAATTGACTAGCTTCATCAATAATTTCCTTCTGAAGTGACCCTTGGGGCTTTTAATTGTGCTTTAATCCATTGGCTGCAAGACATGTTTGGAGGAAGAAATGTCAACTCATCTTTTGAAAGTTTGATATGAGTGTGGGCAGGGCAGTTGTTACCAAGAAGTAAAATTTTCGTCCCTTTAATTCTGCATCCCACTTTCGCAATTCTTCTTCAAAAAGTTGACTGAATGCATGCAAGCTAATTTATTAGCTGTATACGTCACTGGCAATTTTTTAATGTTCTTAAAACACCGCGAATTTTTCTATTTGCCTATTACCATCAGCTTTTTTCCTGTGCCATCCATATTAGAAGCTACAAACACTGTAATACACTCCTTGAAGAGCTTTCCTCCCACATATTTTCTCAAGTGAGGCGACTTTTCTGTCAATTTTGACTACACTCTATTAATCCAGTCGCGAGTAACATTTGTATAAACACTTCGTGCTTCTTCACTAATTTTACCAAACTTGATATGATGGCGTTCTTTGAATTTTCCGAGCCATGCTTGTGATGATTTGAGAGAAGTTAAACCAAATTCTTCAGCAAACTTCTCCGCTCTCGCTTCTTTTAGCTTTTACGATCGGCGCCCGACATAGGCATAATATTATGGCGCTGTCGGTGAAACCATGATGGTACAGTTTGATCCAAATCTTCATATTTAGGTTTCTTTGATTTTTTAAAAGATTTTCCATCCTCCTCTGCTTGTAGAATGTTTTCTTTATTTTTCCATATTGTGGACACGGTAGGGCGACTAAATCCAAAGCGTCTTCCAACATCACTTATCTTTTCTCCCGCCTCTACTGCGCGTATCAGTAACACTTTTTGTCAATACACTGTGATTTTCTCTTACTTACCATGTTTGTAGTTTGAAAGTCTTTGAGCAACTATGAGTATGATAACGTATAGATAATTCATGACCCCTAATAATATCTGTCAACACGTGCAAGCAATCCAAATTTGTAAACAAAACAACGGATTTTTTGGAGAGTTGGTAAGTATGATGCCGACAGTAGAGTTTATTACGGGCTAGGATAATAAAGCGACAAAAGAACAAAAGAACGTGTACAGCTGTGCAGTAGGGATGATCGATGTTGCAGAAACATCGATGATGACATCGATGTTGGCCATTATCGATGTTATTGCACATGTACCTAATTAATTTATATATATATATATATATACATATATATATATATATATATATATTTATATAGAAATTAAAACATCGATGTTTTAATTTCTAACATCGATGATCATCGAACATCCCTACTGTGCAGTTTTTACACATTTTTGGAACTTAAAAAAAACTTTTATTATTTAATTGTTGCCGTTATTGAGAATGGGTGTAATGCTATATAGAGTGTATCATTGTATTGAAGACAAGCTGTACAGCAACTAAACAAAGCCGAGTGATTCCGACGCTTTAAGGATTTTGTCGTTAAATCTAGTGACGTTGCATGGAGTTTACACTTCTTACAATGGAAGTTGTAACTTCCAACAATGGAAGTTATCCTCATGCTTGGGGTCGTCGTGGGTGCATGTTCTTTTTAGTACAGCCAGCAGAAAATAAATTTTAATTATTGACTAATTTTTTTTAACTAACAAATATGTTAAATTATTTTCTAAATAATATTCTGGTTAGTAAGAATCATACTTTGGTCTTTTTCTTCACAATCGTTTTATTTGTCGAGCAGATATGTGTTTGAGATGGGTCGGGTCAAAATTGCTTTTTTGTCAGAAATTCCAGTTGTAGTTTAAAAGTCAGGAAATTATCGGTATTTGATACCCGTACCCTCAGAAAGCATGTAAAGCCGTTGTTTTTGTAACTGATTTGTCCGGATTGCCGTTCCATCGGACTATGAGAGTGCAACTGTGCTTGCTCACGCTCATGTACACTATAATCCTGTTCTGCGCAGATGGTACCACCGCTGAGACTGGCCGCTACGACCTAAATTTTGTCTGGAGAAATGAGATTAATTATAAAACGTAACGAAATGGGATTATTTATAAAACTTATGAATTTTTTTCAGGCATTATAATATATCTGTATGATGATGAGAATAGTGAATTAGCATAGCGATGTGTAATGTGTGCGGTGCGCAGAGCGGTACGTAGCGAGCGCGCTGGAGCCTCCGGCGGTGTCGGTGTACCCGGCGAGCGGGGCGGGCGGCGGGGCGGGCGGCACGCGGACGGGCGGCGCGCACAACCCGTGGCAGCGCGAGGAGCGCGAGCGCCAGGCCGAGGCGCGGCGCGCCGCCGCACGCGCCCGCAGGTACGCACTCACCCGCGCTCTCGTGCGCGCACACCTCCCGCCCGACTGAACCGACTACCCACCCACTTATACATATATAAGATCCAGAAGCAGCTGTGGAAGCGTACAAATCAGCCATTTTGTCAACATCAACTTCAGACTGGAATTACTGCTTTAATGATTGGTTTGTACGAATGGAAAAATACATTAAGTTGGACGGAGATCACTTCGAAAAACAATAAAATACAATTTAGCTATACCGTGCATGTGGTTTTTCTTATTCCCGATCATTTCAGTGTACCCTCCCTCGTACACATATGAAATTTATAGAAATTAAACCTCTATATTGACAAAATAAAGTTATATAATATTATCTTTGACGTATTATGAATAATCGAAGTATTACATATTTTCTTTAATTTTGTATATATATACAAGAAAAACAGATAAGCTCGTATTAGCGACTGGGATGGTGATTAACAAAGGATGCAGTGAAATTACGCTCTTCAAAGCAACTATCGTTATTCTGAAATATATCAGATGACCTTCGTGGCGACAATTAAACTAAGCGAGGCCAGCGTAACTTCCATGTTTTCTCGCTTACCTTCGCTTTACTAAACTTGATCAACATTTGTAACTGTATAATAAATAAGTGTTTTTATTCAATTGAACCCTCAGATAAAAATCTTAAGCATAAGGAATTGTAAACGGTTCCTGACAAATAATAGAAATACTTAATTTTAGAAACAACTGATGTTATTTTACGGGCTAGTTAGAGTTTGCCAATGTTCAGGGTATACTGTAACTTTTACTGCGTTAAGTAGCAGGCACACATCTGAGTCTAGTTTGCGAGTATATACTTGCAAACGTTTGGACATTCCAACTTAGCCCTCAGAGGTAACAGCGTATCGCCGGGGTTTTATGTTTTCATCCCGTTCCCGTTGAGTTAATGACTTAACTAGGCAGCAACTCCGTTTGATGGTAAGAAAATGCCGTTTGCTGAGACCAAAGATTATATATATAATAGAATAGATCATATATATAATTACATAAACTTACATCTATCCTCGATTAAAAATCAATATAGATATGTTGTCGTCCTTAAGGACTGACATGAAATAGTTCGTTAATACTTGTAAATACTTGATTTAAATGGACATTTTACTTGATTTTATTGGATTATAAAATTAAAATGCAGATGTCGTGTGGGGACTAAGATTTAATGCCTCTTTATCTGTTAGAAAGTCTCCGGTTTCTGTTTTTCAATATAGAAAACACAACAGCATTGTGCTGTGATTTAGCGACAGTCTTGAATAATTATTGGAGTATTAATAAAAGTAATAAATTTCAAAACTTCTGGAACTAGTGATAATTTGTAAAGAAATAATAACTTGTTGTATCTCCAAGAGTAAAGTGCATCAATAACACCATTCATTATTACGACTACAGGGATGCAGCTATTGCACAGCTGTTAGCATTAGGGTCGTCACGCACTCCTGTACAAAACCAGCAATTGCGCGCCTTGCAGTTGGAAAGAGACTTCGAACGCCGAGCCACACAACACGAACACGTATGTAAATTTCTGGTTAACAGTTACTTTTGGGCATATTATTGTTCTAAGCATAGTTTTATTTATTTTGCTATTTTATACATGAAAAAGAATTTAAGTATATGTATGTGTATTTCATATCAAACATCGATCATAAAGGCATCCGCTGCGTTTTACGGAATCACGTACGCGGAGCAGACTCCGTCGCGCGTGATATAGCTCGCGGCGCGAGAACTCGGTCAACGCAGCGTATACTGCTGCTTGTATGATCCATGTAAATAATAAAGCCAACACTTACTTTGCTTTCATTGCGAATATGAATGTAATAATCGGGACATATTATGGGATATAGTGAATGAATGTTATAGACAGAACTGGTGAATGAATGAATGAATATACTTTATTGACACACAAACTTGAAGGGCTGGTCATCAATAATAAATTACTCTGAACTGGTATTTTTTTTTAATTATACAAATCGAGTGTACTTACACGGTGCGTGCAGTCCGCGTCACACAGCGGCACTCATTTATTTGTATGAAATCACGCGCCGGGAAACTTTCGCTCAGACAGCTCGCACAACGTAGCTGCGCTCTTGAGTTTCAAAGAAACAGACGCGTGCGTTTGTTGCCGCGTGTGTGTCTGACTTAACGCAGCGGGCGTTCCAAAAATGTGTCAGGCACCTGTTACCTATATTCATTTTTGTGTATATGAAGTTGGATAAATAAATTAATATATTTATTATTTATTTCAATATTTATAATGATGTTAGTGACATATTTCATTCTGGTTTATATAAGAACTTTATAAATAATCCTATTACAACTATACTGTAACTGTACTGTTTGTTTTTTTTTTATTATGATAAGATTGAGAAACGAGCACACAGTTGTCACCCTTGAGGACTAAGATGCAATGTTTGGTTTCCAGTAGAAAGGGTCTTTGGTTTTCTACACTAACCATACGAAACACAGCAGCATCAAGCTGTTTTTACGCTGGTATTCTGTGAGAACGTGTGTTGAAGAAATATTTAGTGTTAGCTTTGTGGTATATGGCGTTGATGAGTAGCATTGTGTCCTGTGTGGTACGCAGGACGAAGTCGGCGGCAGGGAGCAGTGCGCGGACGAAGAATGCGAGTCGCGCTCGAACTCGCGCTCGCCCTCGCCGCAGCCGCAGCCGCCGCCTGAGCACGAGCGCGGCCAGTTCCAGCCGCAGCACCACGCACAGCACCAACTTCAGCACCAGCCGCCGCACCAGCCGCCGCACCAGCCGCCGCACCAGCCGCGCAGCCGCCGCACCAGCACCAGCAACAGCCCCAGCTCCAACCCCAGCTACAGCCCCAGCAGCAACTGCAGCCGCCCAAGTCCATACTCAAGTCCAACCACCGCAACGACATCACTAACGGATACGCCACGGACACGGTCTGTGTTATGTTACTTATTTTGTGTTTTCTTTCAATCCATTAATGCATTACAGCCTTTTCCATAGAAGTCCAGGCCTCGCCCATAGATAGCCTCGTGGCGGCGCTTTTTTCGAAGTTTCAAAATACTTTGGTATTAATATATATATCTGAGACGTGGTCCTTCACCGCTGGCCGTATGAAGAGATTACGTTTGCAGTCTTTAAAATCCCGCAAGCCATTTAGCTTCATAAGATTCATCGCAGCACTGGAACAACGCTTCCTGTTTCTTTAAACTACTCTCTGTGCTACAGTGTTCGGTACGACTCTGAGCCTTAATGCTCGCCTCTACTTTACGGCACTCTCGCAGATTATTTGCCATATTGCTGCAAGGCAATTTCCTGGCACTTGCATATTTGTCTACAACTAGACTGCATCATCGACCTATGGTCCGAGCGGCGCTGTCGTCACATCATAAGCGAAACTCTTAAATTTCACGACATTTACGCTAATTTTACCTTGAATTTTCTGTGATAACTTTAATGGGATGCTCTGATCTATTGTATTCTCTTAAGTCCATCTTACACATCCAATCTTTATTAAAACAGTATACCCAACAGCCAACCTCAAGTACGCGCTATTTTTTTTTGTTGATTGTCTGACAAAGGTTGTCATTAATGAACTGGATGTAAAATTTGTTCAAAACGCTGAACCTAAATTACGCACGTCGGTTATTATAGAGCATTACTACTACAAGGACATTAGCATCACGCCAACGAAAAATGGTTAACCTAAATACCATACATAAGTTTTGAGTGTATAAACTAGTATATTATATTTGTATAGTAAGTTTATTAGGAAATAATAAGAAGTGTGGTGTACAGACAATAGAAGAGAGCCGCATTTCGGAGTTAACGGAGGGCGTGGCGGGTGTGAGTGTGTGCCCGCCGGCGCCGCCCGAGCGCGGCTCGTCGTTCGCCGTGATGGCGGGCCGCCGCGCGCTCGAGCCCGCCGCCAGTGCCGCGCCCGCGCCCGCTCCCGCGCTCGCTCCCGCGCCCGCACCTGCCCCCGCGCACACGCCAGCGACCGCTCCGCAGTAACTATTCCTTATAGCTTTTTGACTTTCTGTACTATAACCCCTCGTCTGTCCAAACGCCATATTCTGGCGTCTCAAATAATATGATTTGCATCTACAAACGCCATAATATGGCGTCGAGTGATAGCAAACTATTTGTAACATATATATGATATATATAACATACATATATATCATCATTATATTTTTTGTCTAAATTTGATTTAATAATGTTTTTTTTTTGTTTTGTCCCGATGTCTAGTATAGCTAAGTGAGGCCTTTCTCGATCTTGTAAACAAAAAGTTTATGAATTTTTTTTGTTTTTTTTTTATAATTAAAAATGCTTTGGACGTACAAGTAAAACAAATAGTACTTGGAATAAAGGCTTTAATTTATAATTATTACACCTTTGCAGAAAATTGGGGAAAAAAACACTTTTCTTACTTTCATTTTCAAATTATCACTTTCGAAGTAAACCTGTATTCAAGTTATAAATAATCTGATAGCTTATTTAATAAAGTTTCCATTGATATGTGATTTTAATATACCTTTTATACAAAATGTCTTGGAAATAGTCATTTTAATGAACAGCAGGAAGTAGTCTGGAAGTACTTCGCGAAGTGCTCGACAGATGCGCCATATTGGCCAAAATGACCCCGACATACGAGGGGATAATATGCTATCAATAAGAAAATGAAATGCAACGAGGCCATTTCTTCTATACTTATGAAACCTAACGCAAATAAAAAGTGGGAGCATTCTAACTCGAATGACCCGACGCAAATGAGCTGCAATAGGCGTGGCCTACCGATTACGCAGCGAACGAGATTAGTTCGAATACCGTGACTATCATAAATGCTTATTAATTAAAATTTGCATTGGACTTTATTACACAAAAAACTATCGAGAAACAAGGTCAACTTTAAACTGCGCGTCCCGAACCGTAATAAAATATTATTAGCAGTTAGCTAAGCAGTGATGGATTTTCAACATGTTTTATTGTTTAAATGTGTGTCACTAACTTAGGGCTACTGCCGACTTGAATTGACTTACTTTGTGCTTATATGTAGGTATACAAATTACTTAAAACATTACCTACAGATATCAATATCATACTACGTAGACCTATAAACTTAATTTCGAAATATCTAAGTGTACATGTATGACCAGGTCGCCGCTCAGTACGACCCGCGACAAGCGCGTGTCGTTCCATGAGCGTGCCGCCGTGCCCGCGAGCGCTTCCGCCCGAACGAATACTCCGTCCCCTGGCCCCGCCCCCGCCCTCTCCCCCGCCCCTGCCGCCGGCCTTGTACCCGCCGCCGCTCCTCCGCCCACGCCGCCCACATCTTCACCTCCGCCACTCGACCCGCCGCCAAGGGAAGATCCAGATGTAAGTTACAAGTATAGACATTCATTATAATATGACAAAATACAAATATGAATAATATAAAACAAACATAATATTCTTTCTATCTAACAAAAATATAATATCCAATGAAGTAAAATAAATTGACTTTAGTTATAGTTTGTACATATACAAGGTTGTTTTGTAATAACCGGCCAAATTTACAGAGAAAGTTCAGAATAACCAACAAAATTAATTACATACTGGCATACTGTTCTTTTTGTATTTTTAATTTAAAATTCGTGAAAAATATTTATTTTAACAGATTTTGCTGCGCACGCACACATTCGTAAGGATCGATCAGTAGGCAAAAACGTTGTTGTTGGGATAATTTCAAATAAAAGTAAAAGCCTTATTTACTATTATTTTCAAAATCGGCAATAACTGTATATCATTATTTATATGTTTGAAATTAAGTTTAAAATTTGGCTACTCTTTAAAAAATAACCCTGTATTGGAATATAATACACAGTTAATTAATTTATTTAAGGGTCGCACAATGATGTCGAACATTCGGTCCCGCAACTAGAGTTTGTTACTTCTGCGCCATCTACCGACACTACCGACAGACGATCAAACTAAATAAAAAGGAAATCATCGTTTTTGCTTATTTTATTCGATCCTTTGAATTTTGTAGGAATTCATCACAATAATTCCTATGTCATCAAAAACATAACTTCTCGCAAAGTCTCGCAACTCAGTTCTACTACCATAAAAAGTTGTGAGATCCATGTTAATTTATTCAGTCCCTACTTAAAGGTCCTTCTGGTTTAAGTTATTATAATTAGTTAACCTAACAACATTTTATAGTGACCATATCAATGTTAAAAATCTTTTATGTTTTAAATATGTAGATTGACTTAGCCATCGCATGAAAACACAATGTATCTCACAATTAATACGTATTATATTAAATTAGATTGGTTAGTGCGATTGCCAAGTCTATAGTCAATTTTGTTTGATAACTTGTTGCCTACAAGGTAACAATTAATTTATTTCAATCAATTAAATTATCAAACAAAATCGCACATATATATTCTAATAAAATATAGTTATTTTTTTAAATGTCTTGAATTTGTATATAAAATGCGATACAATTCACAATAAGATTTAATTTAAAAATCATGCAAAGTAGTATATTTGTAGGATTTTATTTGCAGAAATATCGTATGTATAGTTGTATAGTCCAGCAGCAATGTCTTGCGTTCCGAGTATCAGTCGCAGGCCTTTATGGGGTTCTTCTCGCGGTGTGCTAGTGTAAATTTATTTATTTATTTGTTATTCAAAAATGTTAAATGAATCAGGAAAAAAAATCAATACAAATTGTTAAATGCGTCATTGCGTTTCTTTTGGTATATAACTCATGCCGTTATTGAGAAAATTTACAATTTAACTTTCAAAAGAGCCTATTTACTTCGATTGTTTTCCAAAATTTGGGCACTTTTATGAAAAACTTTCAAACAATGCAATGTATTTGTGACCTTAAGTAAAACATATTATATTTCTTATGTAGCACACACACAAAGGCTTTCATGTAAAAACTTCTTTAAGCCTAGGTTTTTTTTTGAGATTTTCGCGATGTAATCCCTTTTAATAAAGTTTGTACATGTATGTATATATTGTCCGCGGGGCAGACATTTATGTAGCCAGTACGGTTGTAGAGACAAGCGATCTTATTGTATTGGTTACAAATATATATGTAACCATTTTATTCTGTAGCGTTTAGTAGTTTTTTTTTTGTTAAATACTCCTTCACTATGAATTTCTGCAGAATTTTATAATTAATTATGCATGGACAAATATTCTTAACCGAAACAGTTATATGTGGGACATACAAACAGTTGTCCCTTGCGCGATTCGAACCCGCGACGCCATCCCCAAACGTTCAACCATTGCGTTATTGAGCTGGCAAAAGCTAATTGTTCGTGGAGCTATCAATATCCATTATTCCAGCGGTTCATCGAGGAGGCGGAGAGCATGCTGGGCGGGCCGGCGGGCGGCGCGCACGTGCACACGCACACGCACACGCCCGGCGTCATCGGCGCGCAGGAGGTCTACAGGTACCGTCCCACGACTCACTGCTCCACCGACACATAATCTTGTGTAATAAATACTAATAATGAGTCAACTCGGCCACTAGATGGAGCAACGATGGAGCGCGGTGTGAAGGAGAGCGGAGTCCCCCCTCTGCCCGCGAGTCTCTGGTAGTACCGGTCGGCTTCGTTTGCCCGTTTAGAAGTGTCACATACACGAAATATGTTGCACGCGATTTGGTATTCACCCAATAATGATAAAAAATATATAATGAAAATGTATATTAAAACTGTTGATGTATTTGGTGGTCCACAAGAGGTTCCAGATTATTTTGAAGAATATTGTCACCAATTAGAAAAGTTTTCAAATAATCTTTTGTTTAGTTCGTCGTTAAAATGTTAGAAAACGATTCTATAACGCCTTAAGTAAAATTGAATTCTTACAACCGTGCGATTGCTTTCCATCATGATTTTTAATTGAATTATATATATGATGAGAATTCATTATATCATTAAATACATTAAGGACAATTTAAAAAAAATACAATAATAAATGTCGGTAAATATTTGTCGGTTGTACATCTGTAATGATGCGGCGTGCGTTGTATAAACAAAACCAACGTAAAATTTTAACCTTTTATTAATTTATTTTATTTAACCCGCTATCCAATATTTTAAGCGGAATACTTAAGATACTACTATATAAATAAAATTAAAGCAAAATTAGGTAAGTTAGGTTAGGTTAATAAGCACAAGTTTTTGTTTCCATCACGATGAATCAAGTGAAGTAGTAATTGTTTGAATCTTTCTATAAAAAATAATTATTAGGAATACAGATAAAATATAATCTTATGATATTATTATTTAAGGAAATGTTTTTGTGACAACCCTTACATATTTTTAGTGAGTAGATGTCGAAACAGCTTGGTAGATATTTTGCGGTTTAACAAAGGAGTTGACTCACTATTGGTATTTATTACACATATTATGCTATTAGTCAATCGATGTTTTCATCTTTTTCTCATATTATATTATATCTTTTAATATTCATTATGTTTGCTTTTTCTTTAATTACTTTTGACTACTTTCTCAATAACTTGTATGGTGTAATCGTTAAGAAGGATTTTGATCCCCCAGTGGTTTTATTGTGAAGTTATATATAAATGAACTTAAAGTTGAAATACAATGTATTTATCGATTTAATTACATCCTGTCAGCAGCTTATCAAATGTGTCCACTGTTGAACTTGCTGCTACTAACACGCTTGGTGGCGGGCTTGCAGCCGCAGTTTTTGAACAATTTGGTGTTGCTATCAAAAATATGCTCCTGCCCATTCCCTGTTTCAATTTCTTCTATTGCTTCTTACAACACCCACTACAAGATGAGTCGGGTGTCCCAGAAAGAATGAATAATCCTGGAGTGCCTCAGAGTACAGGTATCAGGCGCTCAAATAAAAATACAAAAGAAATATATATTCAAAGTGGTGCCAAAAATATGAAATATAAAATATCTTTTTATCGACCTTACTGTACTTTTATGAACACCACTCTGCCGCAAATTAATGAAATTCGTTGCTTTTTTGGTGTTCTCTTATTCCTCACAGCCTATTCTATTAGAAATGCAGTAGAGTATAGGTAGGTATCTATTGTACTTTTTTGCAAAATAAACGAATAATTTTAGCATGAAATTTTATAAAAAAAAATAATTTAGACAAAAGTTTGAACCATTCGTGAAAAAAAAAGTATGAAGACCTAAGTGGCCAACTATTACAAAAATGTGCGTAGTTATTACATTTTACAAAATGGTATAATACATAATTTTATTTAACGTAAAGATGAAAAAAGAAAAAATTCGACTGAAGAAAGAAAAAAATAATCTTGTCTTAAATTGTCATAAAGCGTTAAGTTGTACATAAATCAATCTTTATTTCCGATAATATACGGTCTTTACTACAGTAAAAAGGACTCTTTCACTCAAGAACGCCCTTGTCATTTTCACCGTTAAAGAAAAGATAAGTTTTTTTTTTAATTTTCTATCTTTGGTTAAAATTATGTATTATACCATTTTGTAAACTGTATTAACTGCGCATATTTTTGAAATAGTTGGTCACTTAGGTCTTCATACTTTTATTTTCACGAATGGTTCAAACTTTTGTCTAAATTATTTTTTTGTTCGTTTATTTTGCAAAAAAGTACAATAGATACTTATACTCTTTACTGCATTTCTAATAGAATAGGCTGTGAGGAATAAGGGAACACCAAAAAACGCAACGAATTTCATTAATTTGCGGCAGAGTGGTGTACATGAAATTACAGTAAGGTCGATATAAACATATTTTTTTTAAAACCTTCATATTTTTGGCACCACTTAGAATATTTTTTATTTGAGCGCCTGATACCTGTACTATTAGGCGCTCCAGGATTATACATTTTTTCTGGGGCAACCTGTATATTCTTTTACACTATCACTACACGGCAAATGTAATGTATTATTTAGATATATTGTGGTGTTGTCTTGGCAGATTTTTTTTAAAAATACGGTTAACAACCGAGCACACAGTCCACATGTTGTGTTGTGGTTTAAAGACATCTATATTTATCCTCGGTTAAGAATTAAAATACAGATGAGTTGTCATTTCTGAGGAGTAAGATGAAAAGCTTGGTTACCAATAAAAAGTGTCCGAATCTCTACACTCGCTAAACGAAACCTACTGTAAGTGGGCGTGGATAGTTATGAAACGTAGCGTGTTGTGGCACGCTACTGCTGGTAGACGTGAATGTAAGTGAAAGCTGTGCGTGTTCAGAGACCCGCGCGCACGGCGGCTGGCGGAGCAGCGCGCGCGCGCGACGGCCGCGCCCGTGCCCGAGCAGCTCTCCTTCAAGGACAAGATGAAGATGTTCGCGCTCGAGGCCGGCGACCGCTCCACGCCCAAGGACAAGGTACACACGCCTATCCACTTGTTGTAACACCACCCTAGTTTACTAATGTAACGACGACTAATTTTCTTCCGCTCACCAGACGTCGCTGGTTTGGAACGAGGTAAATTTGAGTATTATATAAGATTATCGGTTCTCAGTGTATAATAATATACAAAACAAACCCTCAAAGATTTCTACTATAATTTTTAATCGTTTTTTATTCAACTTTTAGTATCGTTATACATATAGGTTTATCCACTTCTCATCTAATTTATATAAAATAAAATAAATACAGGGCAACATTGACATAACCAAACTAAAGGTAATTAGAAAATATTTTTTATACCAAGCAATTCGTTACAATTAGGTTTATTATATACACGTTAGGTGGGACTACGATTAGTTTTTACAAAGTTTAATGTATATGAACCTGTCAAGATATGATTTATTGTAAAATTAAGTGAAATTAAGCAATAATTATAGTTTTTGCGTTATAGCATGGTGCGAGCGACAGCTTACAGTATGGCGTGCCTAGAGATGGAACAAAGTTAAATAGATTTAAAAAGACAATTAACGATACATAAAGCAAAACAAAAATTAGCAACCGGCTATCGATATAAAAATTAAAACCGACACATATATTTCTTTATAAACTATAATGCATGTAAGACTGTCCCCGCGACCTCGCCCGCGTGGGATTTATTACGATTGGATTTCGTGGATTTTAATTTTTTTGCGCGGAATCCTAATTATTTTTCTTTAATAAAAGTAGCCTGTGTCTCCTTATAACATCCGCTGTCTGCCAGCGGCCGGCACAAACAGACGGACAGACAAATATTTTAAATTTTTTTTGTGTCTTTTTATTATAAATACCGTATATACTTTCATATGCATTTAATAAAAGGCTGTTATTTTCATATTACAAACAGACACTTCAATGTATAGATTATACTATGTATTAATTTTAAAATAAATATCGCCTTCTATTTCAAGTTGATTGCCATTCATATTGACTGTTAAACGAATAAAATGGCTGCCGGCATCTTTTTCAGTACGGCTGTGACTGCATCGGCAGCTTTTCAAGGTACGAGTGCTAGCGCCTTTCGCTTTATGAAATTTAAAAAAAGTAGGTTTTTCGTAGCCATTTTGACCGCCGTGAATTATGATAGTCTTTTTGACGCAATGCGCAATTTGCTTAATAAATATATTTTTTTGCCTGAACTCACCAACGAATAATTTATCGTCCATCCATCGGAAACATTGCATATTTGTCTATGTGCGTTTTTAAATTAGAATTTGTTGAACGATTAGTTCCAATTCTAATATATATTTACGTGATTTTTACCTATTCTAATTATTTCAAAAGAGATTTTTGATAGTCTGTGGTTGTTCGTTATGGCATGACAAAGTTTAGTGTGGCACATTACTCTCTATATCTGTATGACAGTTTATCTAAAAAATACGAAACTTCATAGGCGTGAGCTGTCATTGGCACCATGCCACAACGCAAACTATAATAAGATACGTTATGTTAAGGTTCTAAGTTGAAAAAAAATCTTAAAATAAAGGTGTATCTTCTATCTATATTATGCAATAATTAAAAATTCGTAACACCTCTTTTGTTTAATAAATATATTCGTAATGTAGACGTATATTTTGCCTTAGGTCTTACGGGCAATTCCAGGGGATTTAGAAAAATTCGTTAAATCGAGGAATTCGTTATATTGGGGCTCGTTATATCAAGGTTACACTGTATATCAATAAACCCTTACAGTTTCCAACAAATTTACTTCCCCCATGAAATTCATCAAATATCTCATTCCTAAGTGGCTAAAAAGTATTTTTATATGCAAACGAGCTTGCAGCTCACCTGATTGTAAGTGACTACTGTCGCCCATGAACAACTGCAACGCCAGGGGAATATCAGATAATTTGCCGGAATTTAAAAAAAAGAGAGTAGGCTCGTTTCTTGAAGGTCCCTAAGCCGTATCGGTCTAGACTAATCGCTGGTGGTAGTCGATTCCAAAAGGGAGTTGTGCGAGGAAGAAAACTTCTTGTTAATCACATAGTAGTGGACCGTCAATTATACAGATGGTATATGGATGGTATCACAAGTTTTATCGCGATGTGCAATTGTGTTACTTTACTTGTGGGTATCGCACATAACATCTCTTGATCCGATCTGATCCGAAAGCCGGTTAGAAAGAGCTCGGTCGGCGACGATTCGAACCGCTACGCGCTGGATGCGATCAGTTGGAAGGGTCTAGCACTCGGGTGCCCCGGCCCAGAGATAACAACAGTATTCCATGTGAGTAAAGTTGCAAGCTGTGTGCCGGCATAATACTGTCCCGCTCTACAAAGCAAAGCTTTTTACAGGCCTGTTTGGTTTTCCCTTGTGACCGCGGAACTGAACGTCGGTCGAACGTCATGGATGCCCTCATCTAAAGAACGTTCGACCTATTTGTAAGTTGTAGAAAATTATTACACGGATATTTTCCTTAGTACGATTCATTTTCATATTACGTGGCCTGACGAATTCAAAACGACTCTGTGACTAAACAATACCATTAATCCTCATACTTTCAATTGTTTTGAGTTTCTGACTTTAAACAAATTTGAATATTGAACAGTTCCAAATTTAAAATTAAACAAAATTGAACTTAAAAGGCGTGCCTCGTAGTGCGCGGCGAGACGCTTCGATACGTCTCTGCACGTTATCCCTCCGCCCGAATTTTGATAATAATGTCGTGCGGAAAACCGCACTATAATCTTCATAATCTCAGCCATTTTTTAAGATAGGAAAAAAATAAAAGCACATTTTTTCTTGGGTTTTCTCTCCTTTTGTAACAAACACATAGCAAAAATCGTTGGCCTTGTCAATTATGACATGCCGCCGTTTTAGCTTATAGTTTTATTTATTTTAGAGAAAATAGAATAAAATGGACCACGACAGAAATATTTATTAAATAACTTTCTAATCAATGACAAAAACCCATGTTCAGCACAATTTTTTTGCGGCCTAATGAAGAAGAAGCATCATTTCTAGTTTTTTTTTTATTTATAGTTTTCCGTCGTCACGCAGCATTCAACACATTTGCTGTATTTCAGTTTAAAGGAAGGTCGCCTCGGGCAAGAGTGACATATATAGAATATTCATTATATAGAGAATTCAGTTTCATAACATCAATTATTAAGTGGTTGTATGTTTGATCTAGCATATTAGTATCTACAAGTAGCATTTTGTAATTGGAGGTAATTAAAACTAATTGAGGTCTGTCTGACTGCCACACTTACCCATCAGTGAGGCAAGTGTGACAGTACGCTTCTTTTTGTAGTTACTTTATTATCTGTGGTTTTCAACAAATTTGATGAGATGATACTAACGTCGATATATTTTATGATCTATGGAAACGATTTGAATGTTCATTTTTGTGTAACAATCAATTTTCCCCAACGTGGGGCAAGTGTGACTGTTTTTAACCGATATAGTGGCGTGCCTTTAAATAGATTTACTACTCTAACTCTGGATGTTTTGTAAGTATAATAAAAGCAATGCCAAGTGCAAAATAAAATTTAATTTGGAACTTATAATAATATAACCATAATAAACGTGACACTGTCACACTTACCCTGAAGTTAAGTATCAGGTGAGGTAAGTGTAACTGTATCCGTATTTCAAAGAACAGTGAATTTTAGGTCGCAAAAACATATTACTCTATAAGTACCAATATTATTCTTTATCACTCACTTTGTATCTGGTTTAAAATAACTTAACAACATATCGAAACTCATAATATCTTCACTTCCTAAAATTGCGCTGTCCGTCGCCAGTTGAGTAGTTTTTAAAAATAACGTCTGTTGATAAAATAGTCCAAGCTATGTACTTAATTGTCAGTTTAGTCAGTAACGTTAAATTTCCTGTGTTGTTTAATAGATGGAATTAAACCAAAAACCGTGTTTAGGCCGCATAATTTGCATTTGTTACACTTGCCCCACTGTCACACTTGCCACGGGGACTCTATTTAGGTATGCTGTGAAGCATTTTTTCTTAGTCCTAAGAGATTACGACACATTTGTAGCCTGATTTATTTATAGTAGGTTGAAGATTTGCCACTGATGGATTCAGTTCCGTCTTTATCTCTTGAGCTCAGGATCCTCACCAACGAGTCTGATTTGTGTAGTTTTGACTTTTTAGCAAATCCTTTACCTATTTTTTCATTGATTACCTAAATATCAAATACTGTGTCTGTATCATTTCTTTTAATTGTTTATATTTCTTTTACAATTTCAGGTGAAAATATCACGAGCGCAACGCGATATTGACGCTGTGCATTGATTGACGCATTTACTCTTCAAAAAAATTATATTGACAAAATATCTTAATTATACAAGTTTTTTGTATATTATTCTCCGAAGCGACTTACAGTATCTTGACATAAAGTATTATATATAAGAAATTTTTAAGTAACTAACATATTAATGCCCAATATACAATGTAAATTAATTGTATGTAAATTAAAACCTGCAAGTCAAATCCAATATTACTTTACTAAAAATTATTGAATTAAACAACTTGGTCCAGTTATTTTGAATTTTTTCTCAACACTACTTGTGACAGAGGACCAGGCGGAGCTACTTACAGTTCGGCACTAAGTTCAAAATATTGCCTTTATAGGAACGTTGCACCAATTTATATGTCGATTATAGGTAAGATAAACGAATATATTTTATGGTAATGAATTTTGATAGTAATTTAGAAACATCGCCTTAGCAGCTAGTGCTCACCTATATACCTACTTGAATTGGTACTTTGGTTTTTTAAATTGGTTTATGTATTAATAATTGTATTTTTATAATTGTGATGGCACATTGAAATCGATATTTTTTTAAACCTAAATTACTTGTGTGCCATTGTTTAATATTTTATACCATTACATTTGTATTTTGTATGTAAGAGATTTATTATTAGGGAGGACCAATAATTTTCCAATGCGGAGGGTGCCTTTGCGTGTACCTTAATAAGTAATTTAACATATCCATTCTATTTCTTCAGATTCATATTTATATTTAAGCTTCATTACATTCCAAAGAATGAAATCTTTTATTCTATTGCTATCTTTTTACAAGAATCATTCCTAATGCTCTTCTCGAGTCATCCATCATAAATTTTATGTGTCTAACACAATGTTTACATGTAGGTACATCATATTATATTAAAAATTTATGAAACGCTATACATTACTTTATCTTTAATATTAGTAAGCGCTGAACCACTTTACAATCAACATAAAGCAATAAGTTAATGTGAAGCCTTTATGTAAATACAATTTAATTTATACTAATAAGCACGTTTGTGCCAAAACTGTATACAATGTGGCAAAACGGCAACAGGAGGCCAATGCCACAAGATGGCAGCTACACAATGGTAGGTCACAATCGATCGAGTTGCAAATATCAGTTTTTATTGTATATAACCTAGCAATAAGTCCCCTATATGTGTTGAGCATTTTGTACCCCTGTTTGTATATGTAAATGTTTATTTAAAATAAATTTATATGGAGAGTTTACACGAATAACAAAGGTTACGAGGCGATGCGTAGGACTCTAGGAATATCTAGTTTAGTTTCTGGAAATATATCCAGTCTACACCCAACGATAGTCAATTAGAACTCTTGAGATTTCTTTGTAGTGGTATTTGATTATATTTTGTCTAGCTTGTATATAATTTAACATGAACAACCTAGTGACAACCATATTCGTATTGTAATGAATTAGCAATATCTATTTCAGAGATAATACGTACTATTATAATTATTAAAGATATGTTGTACTACGTTCTTTTGAAAGATTAATTAAAATAAATTAACTATCACAAAATGAATTTTATTGCTATAAACCTTACTCTTAACTCTTAACGGGCGTACGCTGTGTTATGCGGGCTCCACCGCAGTGGTTCCGTCACGGGTACACGCAGCGGGCTCCGTCGCACCACGCAACCGTGACCGTGCGTGACCTTGCGCGTGTACAGTCTTGCGGATATAATGGATGATCTATTAATTTAGTATTAACAAACATTTCAAGATTATCGTAAGAGTTTGTACGTAGTACGAGTACGAGTTTGAGGACTTCTTTTAAGCATAAAGATACTTGTGGTAGAAGGTATATAGTACATTCAACAAAAGAGAAACAGTACGTGTGTGTGTGTGTGTGTGTGTGTGTGTGTGTGTGTTTCGGGGGGGGCGTGCGTGCGTGCGTGTGCGTGTACGTGTGTGTGTGTGTGTGTGTGTGTTTGTGTAATCTACGTAAATAGAAGAGGATTTCCTAAATAAATGATTCATCTTTCAATGCATAGTCTAAACCGCTATACGCAGAAATCTGAAAATTAGGCAATAATTGAGAGTGAAATTATTTAGGAAATTCAATCTTTAAGGCCCCGTGCGCGAAATCAACTCATTTCTGACAAATCTGATCACTGTTTGTGTGAACGGGAAAACGAATTTTTACTTTTTCATTTTTATTATAATAGTCTAGTTCTTAATCTAATATCTGGCTTGAAGGGATGTATCATATTATCTATATAATAATGGCAAATCACCAATATTCACAACCCTTTTTCCGAAAAGTAACGATCAAGTGATTTTTGTCTTCGTTTTACAACGAAACTACAAAATATTTCAAACATTAAAAAATATAAATAACAAGTATACGGTCTACTTGTTTGTAGCCAGATCAGTTTTTTTAATTAAAAAAAATTAAAAAAAAAATTGTTACGTAATTTCCAGAAAACTTCGTTCGAAATAAGTATTTTTTTCTATTACATAGAAACACTTTTAATTAATTTAAAAAATTAAACATTAATCTTAAGATCACCCTTTATTGGAAACTAAATTTTATTACATAAATAAATAATGATTTCGTTTATTACTAAATGGTAAAGTGAACTATATTATCGACCGCGCAAAATCGCGCTTTCCCAGAGCGAGGACGTATCGCTTTGCACCGCAGGCACTCCCGTGTCTTACGTAAACATTTCCAGAAATTGTACGCCGACCACCAAATTTTGATCAGGGTAAGGATTTTTCTTTGTATAGTTTGTTTATTAAGAATAATAATATGTTGCATGCCTAGTCTTTATATAAAAAGTTCAGGTGTGCGTGTTCGTAATTCTTGTTATCCTAAACGGCTATACCAATTATGATGATTTTTTTCTTCGTATGGGATCACTTGGGTGGTTCTTAGTACCTAATAGTTAGACCCGGCTGCTGTCTCAGTACGTCTGCTATGTTCATTGATATTTTATTTTTGATAGTTTTTTTTAATGATTAGTACCCATTTCAGATACCATTCACAAAATACGATTTTGTCTACTGTTGCATTTCATTATGTCCGCATGAAACAATGCAAAAATACCACCCGCGGTTGCATCGAATTGGGTATAATTTAAAATACATAAATTGTGATCTATGGCAGGGTGACGAACCTATAAAGATCAACGTGCCATACTTTGTAAATAAATGTTTAAAGCGGCCATAGATGTGCCATAGTATAAAACTACAGTGCGTTTCTCGATATTTTCATTCAAGATGGTCAATTGTTGCTCAGCAATTGACATCTGAACAAAACCGAGAAACACAGTGTACATGTGCATACAATGCTGAAAGCAAAATTTAAAGAAACAGTCTAATAAAACAAACATTAGTGTATGACTTTTTTATTTCGCATGATATTAATTATAATTTATCAGATTTTCATTTGGGCAACTATGAAATTTTAAATAAATAATTTTTTTGGATTATATATACATTTGGGACAAAAGGTATTCACAAGTCACAAGTAACGTGTATTTAAGCAGTTTAATGTTATAAATAAAGAAATGGTTAGGAAGAGACATACTTATTATTTTGGTTGAAAGCAGACAAATCTGACAATGTAGCTACATTATCGCCTATTTATAAAACAAGTTGTAAAATAATAAATAAAGCATAATCAGCCTATAATGTTCCCACAGCTGGAACGCACGCCTCCTCTCTGTGAGATGCAGTGGGCTGTAAACTACCATGCCGGCCCAGTGCAGGTAAATCTGCACTAAAAAGAAAAATGAACGTAATCTATTAATGTATAATTACTTGTCCTAACTGACTGCACTTCAACACTTTTGTGAAGTTCCTTTTGTGAAATAGACATGTTTTTTAAAATACAATATCTCTTAATAGAAATATGGAAGACACTATTAAGTATGAATGTAATATTTAATTTCTTGTGTTCCGTGCAATTTTCGAGGAAGTTATAATTTATAGTGCTTTAAGAATTGTGTTATTCTCATTTTAATATTTTCTTTATACGCCTCTTTTTCTAAAAATATATTTATAACGCTTGCACTTTTCTCTACACAAGCTATTAATTTCTTTGAGGCGTATGTAAGAGATTTTTTTACATTTTCATAATTTTTGAATTTTATAAAATTATGTACTCCCTTTGGCGTTTCGGAGACTAGATTTTTTTTACAATTATTTATTATTTTATTTTTTACAACTGTTTTTATTTTTTTAATAATGAAGCCACAGACATAAGCACATGCTTGTAGTTCGCTACTTCCTTCCTCCAAGTTTTCTTCCAGAGAGGAAGAAATACTTTCTTCAATTTCTTTTTCTATTTGGAATGCATGTTCCGATTGCTCTGTATCAGTGCATATGTCTGTGGCTGGTGTCAGCAATGTTTTAAAATTTTTTATAATGGCACTGTTGCCATCCAGCTCACAATCGCCTGAGCTAGTGTGTGCCATGTTACTTATTACAGCTGTTTTTAACCCAGCAACAAACTGTTCCTGTTGTGTTACTATTGGAGCCACAGTTGTAGCGTATGTAACTAAATAAATTTTCCAGTGGGTCCTGCTGGAGTCTTCTTGTAGACAGACTTTTAACACATTCAATGCTACTTGCGTTGTGAGATGCATCTCTGTGTGCAGTTTTTAGTAATTAATGTTCTACTGTGGCCATACCCATATATGTGTAAGTTGTGATAATAATTATAACGTAACTACCTTTATTTAAAAAAAAAAGCAATATCACGGCGCTGTGTAATTGCTTTTTTTTTCATTTTGTGATGTTTTAGTTATGCTTTTGGCTTAATTATTTGATATTGAAGGATATTAGAAATCAAACGAATTAAATAATTATCAGAAGAATAATTGAAATAAAAAAAAACATTTGAAACACAAGAATTATGAAATTATAAATGCACTTCAAAGAAACATTCTATGCAAAAGCCTGGCGTTCCAACGCAGCTTTTACATTCATACAAAGTGGCAACTCTGTTCTTCTTTTCTCTGCAGCCTTTACATTCTTTTCTAACTACTTCTGTGATAGTTCTTCTCTTCTTACCCTCATTTTTTTTCTCGCGTCTTTACGTTTTCAATTTTGGTTAAAATATGTTTAGTTGACATTTTCTCAGCTATTTGTGGTGGTTTTGGTAATAATTTCTCCAAAATATGTAAACGAAAATCATAAAGATTAAGTTTGCTATTCGTACTAAATTTATTATATAAATGGAACGCATTATTTAAACTCATCTGCAATGTGTGAAAGACTATTTTTTTATACCATCGCATGGTTTTCCTTTCACAGGGGTAATACGAAAGCATTTGATCTTGCAAATCAACATCAGATATAAAATTGTTGTAGTGTATAATTGCTGATGGTTTTATGAGAACAGTGCCCTTTTGTTGGTGACTTCCATCATTTCGTTGTCGTGCTCTGTCGATAAATAAAACACACATCGCTTATCTTTCCACTTGCCTACATGTACACCTTTTAAAAAAAAAAAGACTTGTTTTCTTCTTTATGCAACGTGACAGTAGCTAGGTCTACTGGATTACCTTTTCGATTTTTATTTAAAGTCCCCGTGCAGTAAGTTTGGTGATTTAATAATTTGACAGCTAAATCATAGGAGTTATAATAATTGTCCATATAGACACTGTGTCCTGAGTCCAATTTCTCTTCGAGTAGCTTTAAAACTATTTTTTGAGTATGTCCTATTCCGGACGTATCATCACCTGCACCACCATATATTTGAAATTTGATTACTGTGCCTTCTGGTACTGCAAGTACGTATAACTTTACTCCATACTTATGGCGCTTATTTTTAATATGTTGCCTAAACTGGAGACGTCCACGCCATAACACCATCGATTCATCAAGAGATAGTTGTTTGCCTGGGTAATAAATATCATTCATTGGATTGTTAAAATGATCTACTATCGGACGAATTTTGGCCAATCGGTCTTCTTCATTTGTTTCAGATGAAAAATGAAGGCAACGCAATATTAGCATAAAACGGTTGCGTGACATATATTGTGCAAAGCAATGAATATTTAATAACCAATGTTTTTTCCAGTAATCGCTGAGTCGGTTCAGCCGGATTGTACCTGTGTGAAGGACTAACCCAAGAAATATTAACAATTCAGTTAGAGTTATGTCCTTCCAGGATATTATTCGTGAGTGTTGTTTGACACCAGGGGCCTTCAGTACTCGGATGGCATTAGCGTTAGTTTCACGCACTATGAAATCTAGAATATTATCGTCTAATAGTAATCGGAATGCCTCAAATGGATCAGATGGAGCTGGAACTAGTAATTCCTGGGTTCTGGTGAATTCTGTTTTTCATTGTCCCTTGTGTACTCCAAGAAGATGAAGCTCCTTCCCCTGATGGTTGGTCATCTAGCCTTACAACTCTAGTTTGTGACAGAGATACCGTTGGTGAAGTTTCGATCAAAGCTGGTGATCTTGGTGGCAAGTTTTCGATATCTTCACTGGGAAAGTTAATCGATGTGGCATCGGACATTAACATAGATATGGATTATGGATAGACGGTACAGAAGTATTTAATAAATTGTCAAGTATATCAGGTAGCTCACCGTAATCTTGTATGATAGAAGGTGAGGTTGACATGTGCCGATCCGATTACATTGGATGGGTAAACGTCTCTTCAGGTACTTGATTTGAAGTCTTCTGACGAATTGGTGACAGAAATCTGTCCATACGTTTGTGTCTAACAGGACGCCTAGTATCAAAAATACTATCTGAACTATCGTCGCTAACCTCCTCTTCATCACAACATTGAGAGAATACAGCTTCCTCGCTTGAACACTCAAAATCATCCAAACTACTATCGGCACTAAAACTGCGGCCTTTTTTAGCCCGGGAACCCGAAGTTAATACGCTACCGGAACGTTAAGAAGGACCTGGTTTGTCAGTCATTTTAGTGTAAAAAAGTGTATTTTTCAAATGTCTGTATTTAACAAATTGATCGCGCGAACCTTGATCCAACACTTGATATTATAAGATATGTACTTTACGTCTATGGCCACGTACGTCACGTACTATTATCTCAACGGCAACAGTACTGATGCATAGAAAAAACACAGTCGCAAACCACGGCACCGTGTGTTCGGCTCCCCGCTCCTCCACGGCGCCGTGTACTCGGCCATATACATCTCCACGGCGCCGTGTAGTTGGCATTGGATGTGTTAAATGACTTATATTTGTCACCAAGGATTCTCCAAATCATTTCGATGCCATTGAGGATCCAAATCCATCCATCTTTTGATGGAGGATTACCCCTGCAACTTAAAAATTCAGAAGTTTTAAAAGAAAATTTCATTCTATTGAACATTTGCAGATGTTCCGTAGAGTTCTTTATGTTCGTCGAAAATTTTTTCCCTCTTCTTAGGTCTGGTGTCGACGCGTTTACACCATCAAACAGTTCATCCATATATGTAATTAAATTGGCTGTTACCACTGCTTCAGTCGGCATGTCTCCTGAAAATTCACAATAAACAAATAAAATCAATATAAGTAAGCATATTTTGTGGCTAGTTTTTTTTTTGCCATTTTTAATCCTTGTTCAAACCAGGATTAGGTAATAAAAAAGGCCAATATAAATACTAGACGGTTTCACCCTTTATAAAAGAGACAACCCAACATTAACATTCTGTTGAAACAAATTTGTAATAAAGGGTGTTGTTAAATGTTCATAAGTATCATGCATAATTATAAATGAGTTTGACTTTGAGTATTAAAGATGTCCTACCTTTAGCTATTTTGGAATATATTCCTGCTGCAACTGAGTGGCTTAAAACTTGTGCTGCAAGTTTTACCCTCATTTTTTGCTTGGTATTGGGGTCAAGGTGCTCTTTAGTCAAGCATGGTGCATATACAAAGTTGGGATTATTATTGTCCAATTCATAGAATTGCTTGATGTGGCTCCATTTAGCAATTCCTGTAATTATTAAAAGTATTATAAATTATAATAATTATAAACTAATGTAAATATTTATTAATAAACAATTTTTTTAACTAAATAACAATGACTTACCAATTCCTTGTTTGTTGTCTGATGTTATATTGGTCCTAAACTTTACATCATATTTCATAAAAAGATTTCTGAAACACTTCAGCAGGTGTGGTGTGTCAAATAGTGTGACAACTTTGTGATTGCTCACTTCTATGCAGGGATTCTCTACAGAAGCTCATAACAGACCTAGAACTTTCTTGTTGACACCATCCAAGTCACAAACTGAAGCGCATATATTAAGTCCAGCATCAAAGCATTTAAGACCTGAAAGTATTTTAATGCAGATTATTGACATAGTTTAGCAGAGTTAAATAAACATGATCATCATTCAAAATGAAGAAGAAATGCATACCTCCTTAATCAAAGCAGATAGTCTGTCAGCTGTGACAAACCCACTTGATAAATAATAAGCCACTGGATGCTTAATTTGCTTCCTGACTCCAACTACCATAAACACAAGGGCATATGAAGCTGCCTGTGGAGATCTACCTTGTGTACCATGGTCTTGGAAACCTTCAATATGATCCGCCTTCGAGTTGTACCATAAATTTTTTCTTAAGGACATTTCATCCCACAACAATATGTACTCTCGTTCGGATGGCCCAAAGTTTTTTGTTATGTTTTTCAAAATGGTAAGTGTTGCTTTGTGTGTCTCCACATTCATCTGAAATCTACTTAAGAGGGATTTTAATGTGCTGGGTGCTGGTAAACAAACCATTCTCCTCAATAACTTGTAGCATGTTGGTGACCTTTTGTAGAGCCTCAATACTATTATTTTAGCTTCCATGTTCCACCTGCGCCCAGGTTTCTTCCTGCTATAATTCTGCAGTTCTCCTTGCAGTAACAATGATGAACTCATTTTTTTATTGAGGATTTCTTTTACTGTTTGACTGTTACAAATTTCATTTAAAAATGCTTCATTTTTTAAATGTTTTATAGTTTTTTGTAACCTATATACTTTGTTCATGTTATTTTTCAGTTTCCTTATTAACATTTTGTTTTTCTGATCACCTTCTTGTTTTGAAGACTCATACACAAACATTTATGAATCATTGGTTGGAGCAATAATGTTTGGATTATGTTCTCTTAAAGGATAAACTCTGGATGGACCAGCAATAGGTTCAAATATGGCAGGTTGATCTGGCAGATCTGGCTGGATTAGAAATTGTTGTATCCTGAAAATGAAAGGTTAACATATTTTAAATAAAACAATTCTAATCCTTAAATTAAATAAGTCATAGTTAAGATAAGCAAATCTGTATTAATATATAATTATATTTTATTTGGGCCCTTACAAACTTTGAACTGAGTCATAAATCATTATTATCGGAGCTCTCTCTTACAGACCTTATGGAGACTTAAAATTTTTGAATTTGACTTTGTGAATTAAAGAGAGGCTGCTAAAACTACTGGATTTAAATAAATCAGCTGGTCCTGAGGGGCTTCTGGACATTTTACTAAGTGTGCCGAAATCATATCGAAACCTTTATCAATATTTTTAAAAGATCTAATTCAGAGGGTTTAATGCCTGCAAGATGGAAATTTGCATTTATAACTCCATTCATAAAAAAGATGCTAAAAATCAAATTACAACATGAGTTTCTTCAAAAAAGATCAACTATGTAGTAAGTGGATGCTGTGGCCCATAGATATCTACATTGATCTTATATAAACTCACCATACAAAACACAGCAGTATTAACCCTTAAGTGCATGAACTTTTTGTTTTAACTAATTTAAACATATAATTTAGATGTTTAGGTCTTGAATTTGGGAAAAATAAGGAAAAAAAATTATTTTCATTTTTTTAAAGTAATTTTAATAAAAAAAAGTTTGTATCATTTTTGATACATTATGTATTAACGTCATTTTTTTGTACGGTAAGTTAAGTAACTTTCCTACCTAACCGATTTTGTTGAATAGTTCCCAGACATAATATCCCTTTCTTAGCTAAGTAATACATATGAGATAAAGAGGTGTGGAAATTGTGAAAGTAAACAATGTGGTTTACTTTGCGTGGGATAATCCTCAACAATTTTACAACAGTGTTCCCAACCACTCCCAGATATGGTTCGTTCTCCATCATAGGTTCATTATCTTTTCCTGTATAAATTATAATTTTGTATGCATACCCTAGCAGTGAACATAGCATATAAAATTTGAACCCCCCATTTGTGAGGTTTATTTGGGAGGTATTGTTTTAGGAAGTGGCCCATTTTCGTTGCACACATTTTTATGTGTTCATCTGTGGAAAGCCTTTGGTCTATATGAATGCTGGAAACTCTCATTCAGATGTTCTTCCTCAGGTCGCAGCTTGAGTAGTTTATCGTGGTTGGGGTTGTCTATAGGCAGATGTTTGAAGTTGTCGTTAAAATGTAATATATATCAAATTTTTTCAAATCTATATAATGTCATACTCTGTATAATTGGCATAATTCCGTATTTTTTTATTCCAGTAAGCTCCTATATTTGGATGATGAAAAACTGACATAGATATTAATTCCCATCAAGTACTATTGTAACTTTGATTTTGTGATTGGATCTGGTCGGTCGGGATTTTTTTGGATTGAATATCGAGTAGACCTTTTACAATCTTATCTAAAAAATCAGGAGTAAAAAAAATAACTGAAAAATTGATATGGACTTTCTAGGGCTATAACTTAGAGAGAATATTTTGTCTCGTTCTGAAAACGAATGCTATCTTCCCAAAACTCTGAGGAATGTTTCCTTCATTTGAGTCTAGCATTTTCAATCGTAATATGACACCTGTTGGGAATATTTTGTGCAAAACCACTACCTTCATTCACTAAAGGAGGATTATCATCATTTCGCAAATAATTTTCGTCATTTACAAGAGGTGGTACACCTTCGTCCCGGATTTGAGGCTTATGGAAATCACCGTAACCTATTTGTTCTTCCCCGTGATTTTCTAAAGCAGCACGAATTTCATCAATATTTGGGTGATGATCTAATTCATAATCATCAGACTCAGCTTTCTCCTCCGATAAAAATCCACCTTCCAATATTGCTAAAAGGTCTTCAATCTCATTATCTTTTATTTTTCTTTTTTTCCATGCTCCAAAAGTGAGGAAAAACATATAACAATCACATATCATACAAGCCTACTATAGTAGCGATAAATGTACAAACGGGACCTACTAACTGCATAATGTATCATTTTTGATACAACTAAATTTATCATTTTTTTTTATCAAACGCCAGTAAAATTCACTTGAAATATGTGTTTAACAGTGAAACAATACTCTAACCTGTATTTTTAATATTTTTCCGGGTCAGCTTTTGTGTTAAAATCACTCCAAAATAAATCAATAAAAATTCATAATCCCACGAAAAGGTTATGACAGACAGGAAAAAAGTTTTCATAGTTACCGCCAAATTATTTAGGAAATGGTCATCGATTACTTAAACATTCTAAAAGATGATTAGGCATAGGACATATTTAACATACAGCGTAGTTGTGTGTACGTAGTTTAACAAAATTATGAATCGATAATCTCATCGTATCATTTTTGATACAATATGCACTTAAGGGTTAAGCTGCTATTTTACACTGGTATTCTGTGAGAGAGTGGTCCTTCCCAGGTCGAGCCGACCCATTCGCGCTGCAACCATAATATAGCTGTAGCATAGCTCTACCACATATAAAATGTACCCAAACCAATTACTCATTTGTGAAAGCTTCTAATTGGCTTACTTTGTGGATTACATTTTATACCATATAGCATTAATTAAAAGCTGTAAGTTTTCCTGTTATAAATAAATAAATAAAGTCTGTATTTCTCTGCAATGTAAATAGCTTTAAATATGCTTTTCTTCTTTCTTTTGTACTAACCTTATAGCATTGAACACCAGGTACAGCTGTTCTGAACAACTTCTTCTCATTAAAGCATGTGCTTTCAAAATGTTTGCTGCAAAGCATCTTATGATTTGAATGGAGTTCTTCCAGGAATTTTGGTGAAGACCAGGCTTCGTTTGGAAAGCAATACTTTGCCCATAATTCACAGCTAGAAATTAAACAAAATTAAAATTAAATACCATAATATTTTTTTTTTATTTTATAAGAGGGGGCAAACATGCATACAGCTCACCTGATGGTAAGTGATTACCATCGCCTATGAACAGCTGCAACACCAGATGGATTGCACATGCGTTGCTGGCCTTTTAAAAAGGAATATGCTCTTTTCTTGAAGATATAATAATAATATTCTTAATTATTTTTATTATATATAGATAACAATCTTAACTTTATGTATTTCTTTTGCTTGAAAGAGATGTATATAGATTTGCCAGGTCTACCTGTAAGCTCTGACAGCTCGCGACAAGTTATACTCCCATTCCCTCGGGACCTTAATGGCGGGAAAATTTGCAAGTTAGCAAATTTTTTGCTATATTGCAAATTTTGCTATACTTTCACTTTGAGTCAATATTTATGAATAAAACTTACAGGAATTCTTGTTGAATGTATAAACTATCGAATAAAATTATTTTTGGTTGCTAGAAATTATAATAAAATTCATAAATTATCCTTTATAGCATAGTAGTAGTATATACTTCACTTTTAGTGCCAAAATTAATACTAATTTGAATTCTACACTTTTGTTTTTGGAGAAATTTATATGAAAATGTTTGGAAATATGTATATTTTTATGTTTTATGTGTTTCTATTCGTTACTCATACCAAAATATTAAAATAGTAAATAATAATAATAATATTTTATCTGTATGACATTTCGAACAATATTTCAAAAATATTTTTGTGTGAATTTGAAATAAATACAACGTCAAGTTATTTGAAATATGTAAGAAAACTATTTTTACTTACATTTTACACTAAAAATAATGAGAATTGGAAAAATAACACATTTTTGACCCAACCGCCAAAATGGGCCTTCCGGATTTCGAAGTACTTTTTGCAATTTACTTTTCACTTTTTATACCACAAATTATATATCTACGTGTTTACTATATTACAAGGAATATAAAAAAATATAATACTTTCGTTTTTAGTCCAGACACAAATATAAAATTCTATAAAAAAGACGGAGCACCTTCATCAAAGCGACACGTGGAACGTGGAACGCCGAAAGTTCAGAGCCCGCCTAAGGGTATTAGTCATTACATTAGTACTCTTATTAGTTTGTGGTATTAGTAGTATTAGTGTTCTGTGTCTCTAGTGTATATACAGTAATCTATGGTTCTGTGGTTCAGAGTGATTTCTTTTTTTTTTCTGAGAAACATTGCCAGGTTATGGTTTAAAATAAAAGAGCATATTTTTGTCTTTGTTACTATTATCTATTGCATATTGTCTTTGGTTTTGTTTAAACGAAAAAATAGTTTTTTCATAGGGCAGTACTTCTGATACTTCTTCTGATCGAATTCGATCTCTTTTAGAGCCAAGGAATTGTATGATCGAATCTGAGCTGCACTGGAAGTAATTGAAACTAAAAAGTCGGACAGACCAGCGAGCTCAGCCAGACATTTTGGTAAAAAGGCCAGACACCCTTAACTTTTTAGTCACAGTATATAAAATGATAATTTTTTTTAAGTAAAACGAGAAAGCATTGTTCTACCTCACTTACCTCACCTAATACCCAACATCGGGGTAAGTTGGGGTAAGTGTGACATACATACGTAGACAGAGTTCTCTGTCTACGGCATAGATAAATAAATATGTAGCAAGCTATCGTAACTTTCGTATATATCGTAACGTTCTACAGTGGGTGGACTTATTTATTATATTTTTCTATCTTATAGGCAAGAAAGGTTTAGTGCTATGTTCTCAGTTTGTATCTAAATATTCAAAAATGGCTTCAACTGTAAGAAAAACATCCAACGTATGGGTACATTTTGATATTAAATCTGTTCGTGAAAAAACAGCAGTATTTAAATTGTGCAGGGTAAAATTATCCTATAAAACTTCCTCAACAAATTTAAAAAAAAAACATATTTTAAGAAAACACCCTACGGTTGAAATTCAAGATATACGGAGGAATATGATGCACCAACATATTTCAGAACAGAATCTTTGGAACAGGAAGCTGGCCCTTCTAATCCAGCAGGATCCCAAAACCTTTCGTCTGTTGTTGCTTTTTCTGCTTGTGACTCAGCCGAGGGTCATCCATTGCCACAACCACGCGTTATTCAGCCTACTCAACCTACAATTGCTCAATTCACTCAGAGAAAAAAAATTACACCATCTGAACAGGAAAGGTTAAATAAACTGCTAATGAAATTGTTCATATTAGATTTTCAACCTTTCAGCATTGTGGAAGACAAGGGCTTTGTTGAATTTGTTCATGGTTTAAATCCCATTTACCAACTACCTAGTCGTAAGTACCTTTCAAACACTTTACTGCCATCAAAGTACGAGCAAGTTTTGAATGAAACTAAAATAAAAATTACTGAAGAAGCAACAAGTGTATGCCTTACTACCGACTGCTGGACATCAAAAGCAAATGAGTCATATATGGCCATAACAGCTTATTATATCGACCAAAACTACATTTTGAAGTCGCTTCTCCTGCAGTGTGAAGTACTCCATGGACATCATACCGCCATAAACTTAGCAGGTCAATTAAGGACATGTGCATCTAGGTACTTGGAACATTACAGGCAAAATAACCATTGTTGTGTCTGACAATGCGAGTAATATAGTTTCTGCTATCACGAGTGAGCTGAATTGGCGCCATTTTGGATGTTATGCACATTGTTTAAATTTGTCAAGAGTGGATTAAACGTTGAAAATTTGCAACAGACAATCACCAAAGTGAAGACCATTGTAGCTTTTTACAAACGTAGCGCTTTGGCCACAGAAAAGTTTGTAAAATATCAAGTACAACAATCAGAGGCGAAAACAGCAAAAAAACTTAATCTGTGAAAACTCCGTGGAACTCTGAATTTAATATGCTGCAGCGGTTTGCTGAACTTAGAGAGGCTGTAACTGCAACACTTCCACTCAGCAACTTCAAAGGTACATATCTTGAAGAAAATGATTGGATAATTATTCAAGATTTGCAGTGCGTGCTTAAACCCTTCAATGAAGTGTCTACATGCATGAGTAGAGAAAAATATTTCACGGGTGGAGAAGTGATTCCAATTACGCAGGTCCTTTTAGGAACACTAGATACATTTGAATTAAGAGATCGCCTGAAAAAGGAAACTTCTGAAAGATTTCGTAATCTGGAATTTAGCAGAAAGCTTGCTTTATCGACCTTTTCAGATCCCCGATTTAAAATTTTCATGTTCCCACACCGTTAAGCTGAAGAAACAAACAAAATTTTTACCAAAATAGAGCCTAAAGGAACCCCGTTGTCAAGAACGATTGCGGAGGTTTAAAGGTACCTGGACGACGGCATCCTTCTAATGGGATCAGAACATGACACTCCACTACAATGGTGGAAAAATCATGAGCATGTTTACCCAAATTTGGCAAAATTAGTTCTGAATAAATGCTGTGCGATAGCAACATCAGTGCCTTGTGAAAGGGTATTTTCACGAGCTGGTACCATGGTAACTGAAAGACGCACTCGTCTAGGAATTGCAAAAGTTAAACAACTAATGTTTTTAAACGTCAATTGTAGCCAATGATTCGGTGCAACGGACAAGAAAATGTAAATATTTCTACAGAAAAAAAACCCAACAAAAAATCCAAAAAAAAAATATTATTGATAATTGATCATTGTAAATATACCAATCTTTTAAATGCGCCAAAGAAAAGCAGAATGATAGTTTTTTTTTATTAGGTAAGTACCTAGCTAGTACTTAGACTATTACTTTGCCAGTCCTAAGCCTGAAAAAGCATGAAGGTAAGATTGGAATATTACTTGTTTGTTGGGGAGGTGCGTATTTACGCGACCATAAATAACTAATGATAATTTCACTAAGCCGTTCCGTGATCATTTCAGTATCTAGTCACAATTGAAGTGACGAGATCTAATACTCAGATAAAAATCATTGATGATTTTGTCATTGTTCCCGTCAACGATATTTTTTGTCATTGTCATGCAGTCATTGATACAGAAAAATCATCACTCAGCCCATCTCTGCTGAACTAAACTCACTCGTTTACACAAACGGCGAGTTTAGTTGCGGGTGGCAGGAGACACGCGAGAGGGCAGCGCTTCGCACTTAACTCGCCGAAAAATAGCTCGGCCGGCTATCCCATTCAACTTAATCGTTAACTTGCTACTTAACTCGCTCATTGCCATTCAAACTAGGTTCAAATTTAACTCGTCAGCTTTGCAAGGTAACTCGCTACTGTACTTGTCGATGTGTAAATCGGTTTTTATTACGTAGTAATCGTTCTCCTGTTCTCTAACCTTCATGCTGATGGGTAATTGTGACAATCTTCCATCTCAATTAATTTTAATTACCTCAAATTACAAAATGTTATTTGTAGATACTAAAATGCTTGATCAAACATACAACCACTTAATAATTGATGTTATGAAACTGAATTCTCTATGTCACACTTGTTCCAGGTGATCTTATATGAGCAATATTTAAGTAAATATTGGCTTACTCGCCACGCAGGAGACCTACTCAGCAGCAGGGAATTTGTAACATGGGATGTTATTGAGGCTAATAAAGGTAGAACAATGATACGAATGTAAATTTTTTTTTCAAATAGGCAAAAATAAATGTTACAAACGCTCGATTTCTGCAAAGTAAAAACATAAACTTTTCGTCATTTTGAAGAAAAAGTAATTTTAAAATAATGTTACGAGCTTGAGGTTCGTGACAATAAAAATTGCCGATAGAATTACCTAAATTAACACTTTAATTCACTTTACAATAATTAAAGTTAAAAAAACACTAATAATTAATCACACTGATTCACTTTATTCCGCTCCGAAGCTTCGCGTGTCTCGCCAACTTCAATACTTCCCCGATCGCGTATTGCAGCGCCTTTATATAGGGCTCTTCCACGAAAACATCCAGAATATTCCAGAATATTCAAGTAAATACGCGCGCCAACCAAGCCGACCAAGCGCAGAAAGATCGAGTGTAGAGCTTCTAGAAAGTTTAGTTCTTCAATTTGATACTAGATGGCGTTATTTTCTGGAAAGCTCTCTACTCGCTCTGTTACCCGACACTAGAGGGCGCTAGAGCTAGCATGCCATGAAATG